CCAGCTTTGCTCTGACTAGGATTACTTTTACTATCCTGGGTCGTCTTCTGCTCTGTTTGAATTTTAGGATTGTTTTTTTGATTTCTGTGAAAAATGCTGTTGGTATTTTGATTGAGATCACATTAAATCTGTATATCAGTTTGGGTAATATGGTCATTTTGACAATATTGGTTATTCCTATTCAGGAATAAGGAATGTCTTTCCATATCTTCTGTCTTCTTCAGCCTCTCTCTCCTCCTCTTCTCCTCTTTTCCCTTTCCCCTCCCCTCCCCTCTCCTCCCCTCCTCTCTTCTCCTCTCCTCTTTCTTCTCCTTCCCTATCCCCCTCAGAATACTATAGTTTTCCTTATAGAAGTTTTTAAGGGTTATTTTTAAGGGTTATTAACTATTTTTTTCTAATTTCTTTCTGTGGATTCATTGTTGGTTTACAGGAATGTGGCTGATTTTTGTGTACTTGTCTTATATCTTGCTACCTTCCTGAATTTGTTTCTTAGTTCTAGGAGTTGTTTGGTGGAGATTTGGGGGTCTTTCTGTGTAAAGCATCGTGTCATCTGCAAATGAGGATAGTTTGAGTTCTTTCTTTGCTGTGCACATCCCTTTTCCTTTCTTTTGATTGCCTGATTTCTCTGGCTAAAGTCTTGAGTACTGTGTTGTACAGGAATGGTGAGAATGGGCACGCTTGTCTTGTTCCTGATTTTACAGGAAAAGTTTTCAGTTCTTTCTCTATTAGTCTGATATTGGCAGTGAATTTGTCATAAATGGCTTTTCAGTTTGAAATAAAGTTCTTCTTTACATATTTTTATCATGACTGGACTTGGATTTTGCCATAGGCTTTTTCTGTATTTATTGAAATGATCAAGTGATTTTTGTCTTTGCTTCTGTTTACATAATGGATTACATTTATTGATTATATGTAAAACTATCATTGAATTCCTGGGATGAAGCCTACTTTATCATAATGTACAATCTTTTTTGATGATTTGTTGCACTGTTTGCTAGCATGTTATTGTGGATTTTTGCATCTATGTTTATTAAAGAGACAGACCTTTAGCTTTCTTTTTTGTTAACTGCTTGTCTAGTGTTACTATGATGGTAATCCTAGGTTTTAGAAATGAGTTTGTCAGTATTTCTGGCCTTTCAGTTTCACTGAAGAGCTTGAGGAGTATTGGCAAAGGATTTTCCCTGAAGTTCGGGTAGAATCTGGCAGTGAATACATCAGGCCCTAAGCTTTTCTTTGTTGGTAGAGTTTTTATTACCACATCTATTTTGTTGCCTGTTTTTGGCTTAGTTTTAGAAATTAGTATGTATCTAGGGATCTTGCTATTCTAGTTTCTTCAATTTATTAGAATATAAGTTTTTAAAGTAGTTCCTGCTAATTTCCTGGATTGTGAATTGTGATTTTGCCTTTTTTATTTCTAGTTACATTGAGCTGCAGTTTTAAAGTCCAGGCTTGCAACAACTCTGACTCAAACTGCTGTTCATTTGTCTCTTCAACAAAGGGTGTATTCATGAAGAACCGAGTCTTGTTGATAGGCTGTTTGAATTAGGAAGCTTGCTAAGTCTTGAGTGACAAATCCTATATATAAAGAATGTGATGATACTCAGGCTTACATCTGATCTGTAAAGTATTATAATACAAAAGCCCCACTAAAGTGGGCAGGAAGAAGATTCTGAATCATTTTTTTCCTGCCTTTTTCTCTTCTCTTCTTCTCTTTTTTGTTTTAATTGAGAAAGGGTGTCAGTACATAGCCCAGGTTGGCCTCAAACTTACGGTGATCTTCCTGCCTCAAATTCCCCAGTGCTGGGATTACAGGCATGCATCACCATGCCCAGCTATTTTCTGTCTAGTGGAAAGTTTTCTAGTTTCTTATTGAAGGAATTATAAGAGCAATAGATATTATTGTTCAGGAAATTAGAACACAGTATGTATGTGTGTACTTTTCATGGAATTCTAGAGAAGAGACGAAGAGCTAGCTGCTCCCCAAACATATTTGCTTTTTCTTCTGGAAGATAGAGCTATCCAAGAAGAGGACACTGTACATACTACTAACGGTGAAACCAAGGCACCGCAGTGGCCTGGTGGCCTGATGCTATGGGGAGGAACAGCAGGCCTTAGAACACACTGCTTGGCCTGAGGATGGGGAAGGAGATCTCATTACTTCACTCCTCCACCTCCAGCTGTCTGGGGAAGGATATGCAGAAGCCAAGGTTGCTCTGATGATGGAGACAGGCAGTTTCTCCTGAACACCCCCCCCCCCCCGTTAGCATCAATCCCACTTTTACTTTATCTCTTTCTGGGCCCATGCTTGACCTCCAACATGAGCCATTCTAGAGGTGCCTCTCTTGGCACTCCTCCCACACTGTCTCTGGATTTTCACCCTGGACTTGTACAGTTGGCAAGACCCTTTGTGGTTTCCTTGCTGCTGTAGTGGGCATTGCTAACAAGGTTGTCCCAGGAAATTTATAGTGTTAGTTCAGTGTTCTCTTAAGGCTCAGCTACCTGGGTTTCAAACATCTGTCTTTTTGTTAGGAAGTAATCACATTAATGGGAACAAATTTTCATAGCAGCCTTCATGGGGACAACATTTGGATCTGCTACAGTAAGAGTACAATTTCTTTGGAATTACACAGAACCGGACCCTGATCCCAGCTTCTGTATGTGGAAGCTCTGTGACTTTTTTTTTTTTGTCTTTTTCATTTTTATTGGTACCAGGGATCGAACTCACGACTGCCTGCTTGCAAGGCAGGTGCTTATGCCGCTGAGCTAAATCCCCAGCCCTGCTCTGTGACTTTTCTGAGCTAGGTTTCTGTCTGTACATTAGGGATGCAAAAGTTACCTTGCCAGGCTGTTACTGAATTATCTGTGCAAGTACATACTAACTTCTCCCTCAATGTGTGTGAGCCTCCTTTTCTTTCATTGGGTTATAATGAGCAACAAGTATAAAATAAATGTGAAGGAACTTTGCTATCTATAAAGCTCTGGCTTTGCTAATTAAAAAAAAAACAAATAATATTAATAACAAAATCACAGGTAGGTAGAAGCAGCAGTTATTTTGGGAGAGGTTTGCCATTTTTATGATCTTTGAATTAGATCAACCAATGTCATGATCACATTTCAAAAACCACAGAAACCCTAATATGACAAGCCAAATGCATTTTTTGGGCAGAACGTTTTAAATAGGGCTTATCCTGTAACTTCAGGCATGGCATCTCTTATGAATATAGTCCTTGCTTTCAGCAGTCCTGGGTTTTTTAGAGCTCATCTCCACTTCCCCATGTTTGAGTTCTTTTTTTTGGTACCAAGGATCAAACTCATAACCTCACGCTTGCCAGGCAGGCACTTATGCCGCTGAGCTAAACCCCCAGCTCTGCTTTTGTTTTTTTGAGACAAGGTCTCCATATGTAGTTCAGCTGGTCTTGTTTCTAATAGACAGCAGTAACAGGAAGTTGTTACTGAGTTTGGCCCCACCTGTGCTGAGTTGGGCATTGCTATTTCCATTTGAGGACAAATCCCACACCTCAGTAGCACTGGAAGAGTTAACAAATGGGTATAATGTGCTGGAAAAACTGACCAGAATTATTTCTACTCTAAAATGGAAAATCACATGCTCTAATACTGTGCTTGTGTGCTGGTGTGCCAAAGACACTGCAACAGCTTCCAGAGGAGGAAGAAGCTTGCGGGATCGCCCACATTCACAAAGCATAGCTGCAGATGTGTGGGAGGTTAAGAATGAACAAGACTCTGTGTAAAAGCCCTGGCTTGTAGAGAAGGCGAGGCCTCCCCCCACCCACGCCTTCTCCTTTTGCCTTTGCTCTTTGGCCCTTGTCTATTAGGCTTCTGTTTGCATCACTGTTTGTCAGGAATAGCATTTACATCGCTCTTTTAGAAAATTTTTTTTTTCTTTCTGAGATGGAGTTTCACTATGCAGATCAGGCCGGCCTCAGACTCCTGCTTGAGCTTCCCAAATAGGGGGATTACAGGTGTGTACCACAACGCACAGCTTCCTTTAGAATTTGAAAAGCACTTCATATCACAGTATCACTTATTTCCTTCATGGTCTTTGCCTTGTTTTTCACGGTAACGCTTTAACAAGTATTACACGTATTAAAAAACTGGTTTTTAAGAGTGAAGTAACCATCAAAGTAAAACTCCTGGCAGGCCGATTTTCCTGTTTTTGTAGGCGCTAAGATTGGGAGTGGGGACCTAGGATAACTGCGTGGAGTGCGTGACGCACTCCAAAGACGTAGCACTGTCCCGGGCTGCGGTGTAACTCAGTGGTAGAAGTCTGGCCTAGCACGCCTGAGACTGAGATTCCCAGGGCCAGAAGAAAAAAGTACTACAGAAATATTGACCAGGAGGAAGTCTCTGTCTGTCCCCAGTCCCTTGGAGAAGTAGTGTATAGCTTCACCCTCCAGCTAGACGAGGGATTGACCAGTACTGCGGAGGAGCCTAGGGACCAGCTCCCACGGCCTCCTAGACGCCGCCTCCTGACCCTCTGATCTGGTTTCCAGTTCGCTTTGCCCCGCTCCCTGGGCGCCACGTAACTGGCCCGAGCCCTGCGCCTCACGTGGTGGCCCGACCTTCCCGGTGGCTCCCGCCTTCTCTGCCCCGCCCACCCTGAGGCTGCGCCCGTCCAGCTCCACGCCTCAGATCCCCCTTCCCTAAGCGCCCTGCGACCCTATCCTCCCCAGGGTATGTGGGGCCTGCAGTGCAACTCTAACCCCTGCTAGGCAAGGGCTTGATCTGGACCACTGGAGAGGAGGAGCCGAGGAGCCACCCTAGGCCCCGCCCCTCGATCCCGCCCCTATCGGCCCCATAGGCCCCGCCCCTCGGCCCCGCCTTCGCGCTCTTATTCTCTCCCGGGGCCCCGCCCCCCTCGGCCCCGCCCTCGCGCTTAGTCTCTCCCGGGGCCCCGCCCCAGAGGTCCCGCCCTCTCTATTTTATTCGCTCCCAGGGCCCGCCCACCCCGGGACTCCGCCCCAGGGGTCCCGCCCTCCCGCTATCTCATTCGCTCCCGGGACACACGCACCGTGCGCCCTCCTCATGTGGCTCGGAGCCCGCTGGGCCGTGCTTTGCTCGTTTGTGCGCGCCCCTCGTTCTGCTCCGGCCGCCGCCATGAGTACTGGTACCTTTGCAGTGTCGCAGCCCCTCAATTACCGCGGCGGGGCCCGCGTGGAGCCGGCGGACGCCTCCGTCAGGGAGCAGGCTTTCGAGCCAGCCACGGGTACGCGGCGAAGACAGGGCGGGCGGGCATTCATTGCTCTCTGACCCGCGCCTAGGCCCGCAGCTGGGGGACGGCGCTGTCCGCAGCTGATGGCCTCGAGTCCTTCTGGCCGGCGCGCAAGGGGCCACGGAGGAGGAGTGATGGGGCCTGGTGGGGCTGTCGCTGAGCAGCGGCCTGTATGCAGGACCCGGTGCTGGCGCGGAAAGTTGCTCCTGGAGTTCCAGAGCTGTGGGAGATTGCGGCGAGAGGATCACAAGTGCAAGGCCAGCCTGGGAAACGGAGTGACTTTGCCAGTCCCTGTCCCAAAATAATAAGTAAAAAGGGCGGGGCGTGTAGCGCAATGCTTGGGAGAGAGCTGCAGCAAGACACGGAAGTGTTGTGGAGCAGGTGGAGGAGCGCTCCCTTACAGTTTTGTTTGTGTGTGTGTTTGTTTTTTGAGCAGGTCTTACCACAAAGTTCAGGCTGGCCTTGAGCTCACTTTGTAGCCCATGCTGGTCTCCAATTTGCAATGATCCTCCTGCCTCAGCCTCCCGAGTTCTGGGATTACAGGCATGGAAGGAACGTGAATGCCAATTTGGTGTCTGTCTTGTAGTGCTAAAACAGTATTTCTGCATGGGAATCAGCTGGGAAATGAAAAAACTCGCCTTTCTAGCACACCCCCCCCCCCCATGTACTAAAGTGTAATTGACAAGAAGTTGTATGTATTGAAAGTGTGCAATGTTTTACTTACGTGTGCCTTTTGAAATGATTAACACAACCACACTCATTAACAGATCTGTTGCCTCCGTTACCCTTTTTCTTGGAAGTGAGAACTTAAAGATACATTTTTTTTTTTTTTTTGTATTGGGGTTTGAACTTGTGACCTCAGGCTTGCCAGACAGGCGCTTATGCTGCTGAGCTAAACCCCTGGCCTAAAGATACATTCATATTGCAGGGTGGTGTCATATCCTTGTAATCTCTCTCATCTTTTCGGAGGCTGAGTCAGGTGGATCACAGCGAGTTGCAGACAAGCCTGCATGCACTACATAACAAGACCCTGTCTCAAAACTAAAATTGATTCTTTTAGCAAATACTAAGTATACAATGCAGTATTATTAACTGTAGTCCCTTGCACTGAACACTAGATCTGCACAATATATTTATCTCTGCCTAAATGGAACTTTTAAACTCCAGTTCTTCATGTGTGTCCAGATAAGGATGAAGAGAGTTTTTGTTTTGCTACCTTGTATGGAATGTTTCAAGGAGAAAATGTAAATGTTTTGTGGAGACAAGAAAGACAGGTTTCGGCAGATCAATACAGCTGGATTGCAAGAGGTGGGACTGGAGGGTTTAGGGTAAAACATGCTAACTGAGTCACAGGGCCATGATCTGTCAGAACTGAAGTGGCCACAGCTAGGGGTAAAGCTTTAATTAACATAGCAGGGAACAACTTCTCTGTCCTCTCCCCTTAGTGATACAAAAGAACTGGAAAATATTCTTTATTTTAATTACCTACAGTGTCTGTGGTCTTCAGTCACTGCCTTTATCAACTATTCAAGTTTGTAACAGAAATCACAGTTTGTACAGGACATGTACTTTGTAGGAGGTTGCGGCAGGGAGGAGAATCCACAGTTCAGAGGTCAGCCTAGTTGACTTATTAAGATCCCATTTCAAGATAAAAAGGTAAGGAAGGGTGACTGGAGGTGTAGCTCAGTGTGAGGGTCCTAGGTTCAACAAATACACACACACACACACACACACACACACACACACGTGAAGTCTTTCTGGAAAAAACAAGTCTCTGGAATTCTTATGAAAAGGAACTCTTGAATTGGCATTTGTTGGTAGAACTGATCTCACTTATAATGATTTGTTGGTAAAGTTGATCTCACTTATAATAATATAGGTCTAGAAAAATTGATCTTTTCATGTTTTCAAGTTTTTTGTTTTTTTTTTTTTTTGGTCTTTTTCATTTTTATCGGTACCAGGGATCAAACTCACGACTGCCTGCTAAGGTAGGCACTTATGCCGCTGAGCTAAATCCCCAGCCCCGATCTTTTCATGTTTTGTCCAAGAATAGATACAAGAAAAAAAAGTTGGAGTAAAAAAAAAAAAACTGGAATTTTTTTGTTTTTGGTGTTGGTGGTGCTATGGATCAAATCCAGGGCCTTGTGCATGCAAGGTAAGAGCTCTACCCCTGAGCCACAACCCCAGCCCAAGACTGGAATTTTTTGAGAAAAAGAATTTCTTGATTTTTCAGGATATTTTTGAGTTATTACTGTTTACTAGGCATATTCATTAAGTATCAGTAGTGTGATACAACCTACTTAGAACTCAGATAAGGGATTTAAAAGTCAGAGTTCATAACCAGTAGCTTGATTACTTTTAACTTTGATTTTTGCAAGAGCCCCGAGATTCTGAGACAGTATTAAGGAGAGTTACAAAATGATGTTACAGGAAATAGATGTGGGTAAACTCAACTGTATAGTAGAAAAGGAGGGGTCCTGACCCCACATCTGTTGTATTTAGACAGGGCACATGGCTTCTGTAATTCTGTGATTTGTTAAATTCTTTTCTCTGGAGCGACATCTGGGATTTTTTATCCAATGTTTAAAGGAATCAGTGACTGTGAATAATAGTTAAGAACTACAGGTATAGAAGTGGTCACTGAATCAAACTGTACTTAAAAACAGGAAAGGGGTCTCTAAGAAACCACCCACGTGGTTTTATTTAAATATGTTACAATAATTTGACATAAAACTGACTTTTCTGTTCTTTGTAGGCCGAGTGATAGCTACTTTTGCAAGTTCAGGAGAAAAGGAAGTCGATTTGGCTGTTCAGAATGCAAAGGCCGCCTTTAGAATCTGGAGGAAAAAGTCTGGCATGGAGCGCAGCCGGATCCTTCTGGAAGCGGCCAGGATTATAAGGGTGTGTATTTATACATTCTCTTCCAGAAGACTCCTCTGACACTGCCCCTGGGTTCTGTATGGTTGACTTTGATGCAACAGTAGGTTATAATGTTTTCGTGAAATGGAAAACATTTTCACCGACTCACCTTGGTATGTAAAACGCACTTTCTTTTAGTAATTCCCATCCAGATCTTGGCTCAGGAACAGCTCCCTCGGCAGGTCTTCTTTTCTGTATTTGTACCAAATTATAATGCCCTCTTGGTAGCTTGTCTGCTTGTCTCTTTAATGTATGTTTGGTTACTTGTTTCTTTCTTTGCCTACTTATATTCTGATAAACTTTAAATCTTCCTTTGTTTTTTAGATGTATTTTATACCTGGATTGCCTGGAAAAATTTTATTTGGTAATGAATGTTCCTTTACTTAAAAGGTGTAAAATTTTTACATTACAGTTTTTTTCAGTTAGATATATTGGTGTATTTTAGGTATACATGATGATCACATTCATGATAGAGAAATATATTATAGTTTTAAAAGATAGATAATAGGAAATAAGGAAATAGACCCTTCTCACAGGGGAAGGGGATCAAGAGAGTGATGGAGGGGGTGGGAGGGAGGAGATAAGGGATTAAAAAAGGACTGAAGATGTGTTACGAGCCTGTACCAACTTCACACAAGAAATGTAAACATCATGTACTGCAAACATACAAAAAAATAAAAAGGAAGGTGATCAGTGGATGGGAGGAAGGAGGGAGAGAGAGAAAGGAAAGGGGCTGAAAAAAGGAATTAAGATGTGTTATATCTGTGTGCCAACTGCCCACATGGAATGTAAACACTTTGTACTACACTCATATCCTGATAAACCAAGATAAAAAGTATGAAGGAATAAAAAACCCCCAAAGTAGTAGATGTTCATTACAGGAAATGATCAATATTCACAAGAATACATACCAAAATGTGAATCAGGGATATCTCTGAGAGGTAGGATTATGGTGACTTTTTTAGTCTTGTTAAATCAGAAACTATGAAGGTTGTGAGTGTTACTTTACTTGCAAGAGTATGTGTACATATGGGGCCAGGGACATAGCTCAGGGGCATAGGTGCCTGCCTGGCAAGTGCGAGGTCCTGAGTTCAACTCTTGGTACCAAAAAAAAAAAAAAAAAGAGTGTGTGCACGCGTGCACACACGCACACACATTTGGGATCAGAAAGAAAAATGGTTTACTACAGCAAACTACGTGGAATGGGACCACAGAGAAGGACTACAGGAGAAGACTAAAATCCTGAGACTCAGCATACATAGGGCTGCTGTCACATCTGCCCATCATGTCTCTGGAGAGAGAGAGAGTGGTTACTCATTAAGCAAATCTCAAGTTGAGAGGGAAAGGTCACTAAGATTAGGACAGTGGAATGTCAGCAGATGTGCCCAGGGATAGGAAGTAAAAACTTTACTCTTCCACGTTACTGTGTATCTTCAGGGAAACACCATGTCTGCCTTCCACGGCTTTCAGTCTTCCTCAGCTTATCAATGTTCTTTGCCCAGAAAACCTAAACCATGCAAATGTGTGACAGCATTTATGGAGAATCTTTTCCTGACAAGGATTTTCCTCTATTGTTAAAAATTAGTTTTAATGTGATAGATCAAAGGTGGTGGACATTGTAAGCTAATAGTTATTTTACTTTGTCTTTTGTTTTCTCCTCATGCATGTTGGGCTATTATGCCCTTTAGGATGTGGCTCCTTCACTATGAAATAATTTTTATTGACCCTAAATAAGATCTAAGAATGAATTTATCTTCTCTGATACTCTTTTTTTTTTTTTCTTTTTTTTTTCATTTTTATCGGTACCAGGGATCGAACTTACGACTGGCTGCTTGCAAGGCAGACGCTTATGCCGCTGAGCTAAATCCCCAGCCCCTTCTCTGATACTCTTTTCGTTTTTTTTATTTTAAAGGGGGTAAAATTAAACACAACCAAACAGAACAAAATAGGACATAAGAAAGCAATGTAAGAGATATAAATTTCAAAGCTAGACAACCTGAGGTCTTCACTGTCTATCATATTGTCTCTTGTTTTCTTCCAAATAGTTGTCCATGTCTTCGCATACAGAGAATTCATACACAACAATATAGTGTAAAACTGATCTGAACAGAATGCGGAAGGCGTCTAGGTCTTCAAAACAAGACAATAGGGAAGTCACTCATGGCTGGTCATAGAGTCTCTCGTTCTCTTCAAAATAATTGTCCATACTTTCATGTATACTGAAGTTCAACAAAACAAAACAGGCAGTGGGGGAGGGGTTGTGTGGTTTCCCAGTGCTCCCGGTCCCAGCATGGCCTGGGTCCCAGTAAACACTGGTGGCTCCCATTGTTGGCCACCACAGCCTGCCAAGCTCACAGCTGTTCTGGGGGGGGGGGTTGCTTCAAGCTGTTTCTTTCTAATGAACTGGCCATGTCACTGCCCAAGTTCTGAAATGGCCAACAGAACTGGCCATGTCACTGTCCAAGTTCTGAAATGGCCAACAGACCATAGAAAGACATCTCTTTAGGCTCCTGCTTGAAACCAGCAGCGTCAGGAAGCTGCCGGCCTTGATTCAGGGCCTATTCTTTTCCTTTTCACATATAACTTCCCTAAGCACCATTCTTTCTTACTACGCACGCTCAAATCTTTATACACATACATGTAACACTCAGTTCTTAAAGTGTGCTCTTTCAAATGTGGTCTGAAATGTTTATCATCTAATTAATGGGAAAGGAAGGACAGAGCTGCTGTTTAGCAGCAAGCTTTTATTTCTCTTCTGTATGGAACACTGCCATTCCTTTTCATTCACAGTACAAGCTATTTCTATTTTTAAAAAACCAAACAATGAATTGTACTTAACATTAAGACACGTGGCCCTAGGTAATCAATGTAGTCTTTTTTTTTTTTTAACCCAAAGGAGCGGAAGGATGAAATCGCCACAATGGAGACCATCAACAATGGCAAGTCCATCTTCGAGGCACGCTGGGACATTGACACTTCCTGGCAGTGCCTGGAGTACTTCGCAGGCTTGGCCGGGTCCATGGCTGGTAAGCTTTGCCTGACCTTCTGCCAGCTGGCAAAGGGCAGAAGTGCAGAGTCTGGTGGCAAAGGGCAAAGACTTGGAAATAAGATAAGCCTGGTCTCAGGTCCTGTGCTCATCACCTTCTCCTTGGGTAATCCAGGAATTACTGGCTGTTTCCTTATCTGACTGAGCTGGAGATAATGATCTGGGACGTCCTGGACTGGTGTAAAGTTGCTGAAACACCACTTTCACAAGAGCCAGCCTGTGGTATTTGCCAGCTTCACCAGTTTAGCAAACAGTTCTATAAAAAATTGCGAAGTTTACAACACATCACATTGGAAGGTTTCTAGGGCCCAGTGGGGCTGTGAGAGCCAGATGTGGGAGACTCTACTCCTCTTGCAGAGACTGCCCCTTATTTCCACTTTAAAAATAACAACAACAACAACAAAAACCTGAACTGTTGCCTAGTGGAGGCTCGGGAAAGTTTTAGAGTTAGGAGGACCAGCATGTGTTTGAAGGAGAAGTAGGGTTTTGTGTGTGGGGAAACTGAGGGAGAAAAAGGCCAAGGTTCTGGGAGCTGGGTCTTGGGACAAGTTGGGCGCTGGTCTGCTGGGAGTGTGAGCTGGGTGGGGCACCCGTGCCAGGGTTGGTGCACTTTTCTTCCTCCTCTGTTTATCCTGTAGGTGAGCATGTCCAGCTGCCCGGTGGATCCTTTGGTTACACCCGCAGGGAGCCCCTTGGGGTGTGTGTGGGGATCGGAGCCTGGAACTACCCCTTCCAGATCGCCACCTGGAAGTCAGCCCCGGCTCTGGCCTGCGGTAAGAGGGAGCCAGACCCACTGGGTACTCCCCTGCACTCGGTCCCTGTTCTCTGCCCCTCATCTTTCCATCACCCTACTCCTCAAGACAGAGGGGTCTGGGCTGTTTCGACCTTGGAGGACATGGGTCCATTCCTACCATGCCTAGTCCTCCTGACCTCATGGCTATCTACTACCCGCTGCCTGTAGTCTGCCTGAGAGACCTGTCTGCTTCAGCCACCTCTCCAGAGGCACCGCCCATCCCCCACACTTACTAATGACACACACATCTCTAGGTATTACTATGTTTTATTTATCCAATTTATTTATGTATTTACTTATTTTACAATGCCAGGAATTCTAATTTTTTTGGTTTTTGTTTTACAGTACTAGGGATTGAACCCAGGGCCTTTGCACTGAACTCTGACCCCAGCCTTCTTTTAATTCTTTGACACAAGGTCTTGTCAAGTCACTAAATTGCCCGGGCTGGGCTCGGATTGGTGATGTTCTTGCCTCACACTCCCAGAAAGCTAGAGTTACATGCGTCCATCACCACCTCTGGCTCTAATTTTTGAAGAAAGAAAGAAAAGAAAGAATAAGAAGAGAGAGAGGAAAAGTAAAGAAAAGAGACAAATAATTTTTCCTGCTAAACTGAATTTATTTTGTGCTTTCTGAGCAATCATTTGTAGCACTTGGGAGTGTGACCTGATTTAGGAAGCAGAAGATAAATTCCCTTCTTTGCTGGTATTCAAGGGAAGTGATAAAGGCTTCTGTGAGAATGGCTTTTGCTGTTCAACTACAAAAATGGCTTTCTTGTGCTGTTTAAAGAAAAGACTCCATAGGGGAAGGAAGGCTAATGTTAGAAAAAGCATGGCTGTTAGATACCGAGTGGAAGCACTCCCTGGGTCACCAGTGCAGGCTCCTGTCTTAGAACCTTGCTGTGTAGAGGCCTGAAGAGAGAGGAAGAAGGTCCAGGATTGAGTCCCTAGCTTTGTGTGCTCTCCCCAAATGGCCCTTTCTGGTCTTCTGGTTCAGCTTTTACAAAATGACACTTAAATCAAGTGTGGTGGCACATGACTGTTATCTCAGCATTTGGGAGGCTGGGCAGGAAGATTGCCACAAATTTGAGGCCAGCCTGGGCTACATAGTAAGTTCAGGGCCAGCCTGAACTTCAAGTACGATCTTGTCTCAGAAAACCAAACAAACAAGCATACATGAATGAGTGAAACCGACCACACCTGCTTGATTCTGCTGTTGAAAATGTTAGATCTGAACCACTTAACAGTTTACTCTGAGCATCACTTGGGCAGTGCGCTTATTTACATACTGACTGTCCCAAGAGTCACTTGGGCAGGTGTCGTTTCAACCAGTGAATTCCTGTATTGGATAAATTTGGTAAAATTGTCGTTTTTAAAGGAAAATGGATGTAACGTGAGATCATACTCACAAGTGAAATATATCAGAGATGCATGTATAAACATCATTGTCTCACTAGTATGAGAAGCTGAAGCCATATATGTCTATGGTTTCAGATGTATATAATATATCACACAATATATAATATATACGTTACACAGATGTATGTGCATTGTCATCCCCTAATTATTGTTTTGAAATTTTGTTTTTTTCTCTTCAAAATAAAATAGATTTGAAAAGAAAAAGTTAAATAAAATCACCATTTTTGTCTTTCCTGTTACATTACAAAACTTAATGAAAAAATATGCAAAGCTTTGATCATCTTGATTTTAAATATTTGGGCCAGTAGGTGGTTAAATGCTAAAGGCCCTGAGGTGCGGGTGTGTGGTGTTCTGTGTAATGAGAGAAACCGAGGGAGGGGGACAGGCTGCATCTGTTACTACTAATGCTTTAGTCTAGGATTTGGTCGGGGGCACGGACAGCGTTTTCCTCGTCCTGCCCTCAGAAGATCACACTGTGAAGTCTTGTGGGTGCTGTCTTGGCTTTGCACAGGTAACGCCATGGTCTTCAAGCCCTCCCCCTTCACGCCCGTTTCTGCTGTGCTCCTGGCTGAGATCTACACCCAAGCGGGGGCACCTCCCGGGCTTTTCAACGTGGTGCAAGGTGGGGCGGCCACTGGCCAGTTTCTGTGTCAGCATCCTGATGTGGCCAAAGTCTCCTTCACCGGAAGTGTGCCCACCGGCATGAAGGTGATGATGAAGCCAGTACTAGTTAGCACGGCTACAAGCTGCCTCGGGACAGGCTGCCCTACTTAGCAGGCTGCCCTCCTAAGCAGCCTCCCATTTGGAGGCTCTGCTTACGAGCAGGCAGGATGCATGATAGGGGTCTACAGTGTCCTGGAAATTGGGAGGAAAGGGAACATGGGTGGGGCGTCTGTGCTAGATCTGCTGAGGTGGTAGCCATGCCCTCTGCCTGGGGAGGGGACATCTGAGGGCAGAGGCCTGAGCTGCCACTTTTGTTTGGTGACTTCATGAATTGAAGGAAGGGGATTTTTCTTAGGTTATTTCCAATTCATGCTGTGACTGAATTTGTATTTGAGCTGTCAGCCCTAAACAAGGGCCACGGAAGAAAATTCCTGGCAATCACACCAACATGTTTTTAAATGAGCGATGGTGAATCTGTGTCCCACTGTGGGTTGTTTGTATCATCGAAAGCTCTGAAAGGTTCACCATCACAGTTCACGTTTGTTTGTTTATTTATTTTTCTCTTGGTACGGGGATGGAACCCATGACCTTGTGCTTGCCAGGCAGGAGCCTAAGCCCTGAGCTAAATCCCCAGCCCTTTCCATCCCTTTTAAAATGAATGCTGTCTTCAGGCTTTAAAGTACTGTACACATCTATGGGTTCTTAATATTTTAAATAGATGAAAGGCAAAGTATACTGATGAACATAACGTAGTAGGTCATACACGGCTGTGGCTAACTTTGTAGGGTCAGGCTTAGCAGATGTGGTGTGTGATTTATCCGTGTCAGACTTCCTCTGAATGCTTTCTATTTGTTCTGTCAGATCATGGAGTTGTCAGCGAAAGGAGTCAAACCTGTTACCTTGGAACTTGGGGGCAAATCTCCACTCATCATCTTCTCAGACTGTAACATGGAGAATGCTGTGAAGGGGGCGATGATGGCCAACTTCCTCACCCAAGGCCAGGTATGGTGGGCTCGTCCTTGGGGGAGGCGGAAGGAGTCATCAGCCCTTGGCCTAGCAGTGTGCTCTGCAGTGTTGTTTTGAAGTACTTTCAGACTTAATAGAAGAGTTCCCAAATAGTACAGAGAATTCCTGTGTACCCCTGAACCAGAGCCTTTGAATATTAAAATGTTACCACTTTCACTGTATCCTTCTCTCTACCTGGCTATACACACACGTGTGAAGTACTTCTGAGCCACTTGAGGTGTTCTTAAAAACAGGTGCATTTTTTAATGTAGCACAGAACACTTACAGAAATCAGTAAGCTAACATCAGTTGGGCTCTATTTTGTTTTTTTTTTTGTTTGTTTGTTTGAGACAGAATCTCACTTTGTAGTTCAGGCCAGCCCTAAACTCTCTGTAGCCCAGGCTGACTTGGAACTCATGGTGATTCTCTTGCCTCAACCTCCTGAGTGCTGGGATTACAGGTAGATGCCATCATGCCCAGCTACAGAGCTGTTACACAACCTTTCACCTTTGTTAAAATTTCACCATTTGTTTGATTCATATCTCTTTAGTAAAAGAAAAAAAATTTTTTTCTGGCACAAAGATGATGAATTGCAGTTAGTTGTCTGCCTTTCTTTTTCCATTCAAAGTTATTTTTAAAAATTGTATATATTTACGGAGTATAGTATAATAACTTAGTATACATTTATAACATGCAGTGGTCAAATCAGGTAATTAGCATTAGTCCTTCTGTCTTTATTTTCCTTTAGCTAGCAAGAATTCTTCAGTTATTATCTTTTATGACCTTGGCTTTTTTTTTTTTGGTCTTTTTGAGACAGGGTCTTGCTATGCGGTTCACGCTGGCCGCGGCTCACTTTGTAGCCCAGGCTGGTCTCAAACTTGCAAAGATCCTCTTGCCTCAGCCTTCTGAGTCATGCTAGGATTACAGGAATATGTCACCATGCCCAGCTGGTCTTGGCAGTTTTGAAGTGTACAGGCCATTTACTTTTTTTTTTTTTTTGGTACCGGGGATTGAACTCATGACCGTGCAGGTGCAAGGCAGGTGCTTATGCCACTGAGCTAAATCAGCCCCAGGCCATTTACTTTATAGAATGTTCCTCATTATAGGACTATCAGATGTTTCATGTTAGGCATTTTTGGCAAAAAATAGTCCAAATGTGCTATTATGTCCTCCTTTGAGGGTGTTGACTCTCAGTAATTGCTTAAGTAGTTCAGATTAACCTTAAACTCACTGTGTAGCCCAGGCTGGTTTCAAGCTTGCAGCAAGCATCCTGCCTCAGCTTCTTAGTGCTGAAGTTACAGGCGTGTTCCACCATGCCTAGCTATAAGTGATACTTGAGACTTCTGTTCCTCATCAAACTTGCTCTTCAGGAGTTTTATCAACTGCTGATGATTCTTGCTGGAAGTTTTTATTATGGTTGTGGCCAAATGATAACTTTATTATGGTTGCTCCATTGTTCCTGGTATATTTATCTGTCCACTTTTCTGGTGTCAGGAGGAATGTTTCTTTCTCCTCTGTTTTCCTTCCCTTATTTATGTATTTTTATTTCATTCTGTTGATTATAATTCATTAGTATAATTGTTTATATGGTTGCGCAAATAATTGCACAGTTGGCTGATGGGGGCCTGTCTGTGCCCTGGTGATACACTTTTTCTTCAGACACTTCAATGTCTGGCACGGTGTAGTGTTTCAGACTCATCTTTTTAATTTTGTCTTTTTGAGGCAGGATCTCTCTATGCAGTTCAGGCTGGCCTTGAGCTCGCTTTGTAGCCTAGGCTAGTCTCGAACTCGCAGTGATCCTCCTGCCTCAGTTCCTGAGTGCTGGGATTATAGGCGTGAGCCACCATACCCGGCTCACTGGACTGTTTTTATTCTTTCCCTGTAGTCAGCCATTTCTCTTGGGCGCTCCGGTTCCCTGAGTGGCACATAGCATGTAGAAACCACGATCAGAGTGGCGGGTGTGTTCATGGCTGCGGAGGTATTGGTGCTCCCAGACCCTTGGTGGAGACTGCGAGGACCTACATACTTGTAGGTGTGTATACATACATCTGTGTCTGTGTATGCATGATAGTAATACCCACAAGTTCAAACAGATACTTCCAATTTTAGAATATTATCCTAACACTTCAGTTGACCTTCTACTTTTCCATATTTGTAATTTCCTTTTCTGGCAGTAAGAAGCAGTCAGGCTGAGGCAGGAGGATCACCATGTTCAAGTCTAGCTTGTACTATTTAGTGAGACCCTGTCTCAAAAACCTAAACAAAACCAAAACAAAAGCAAAAAAATTCCTTGTTCTTGAATACATTTATAGTAGCCTAGGCATTGTGAATCTATACCACTGTGAAAAATAAACTCTAGTTAGAGTTCACAATAATTCACAGTTCTTTTTGTCTTTAGCTTGAGAGGATAGTCAAAGTACTGTGTTCAGCTCTTACCTGACTCTGTTTCTCCTTGCTTATTTTGCTTTCAGTATGATTATGATACTCATTTAAAATAACAGACTTAATTGTTTTTGCTAGTATTTCATTTGGAGTTTATTTTGCCTATCCTTGAAGACTTTAAATGTCTGTTTTCTTGTTTTGGTACCGGGGATCAAACTCACGACTTGTGCTTAGCTCCTACCACTGAGCTAAGTTGCTAGCCCTTAAATATCTGTTTTAAGCTGGGTATGGTGGTGCATGCCTATAATCCCTGCACTCTGGGAAGCTAGGGAGAAAGATCACAAGTTAGAGCCCAGCCTGGGCACCTTAATGGAATCCTGTCTTAAAAAATAAAAGCGTGCGGGTGGGGGTGGGTCTGTGGCATACCCTAGGCATTCCAACCAAAACTTGTTCTGATTAGACAAAATAATAATGTGGTTCTAAATATAGGAATTTTTTTAAAATTCCATACTTAAAACCATATTTCTGTGACATTCCTGATCATCCCCATTGGTAACCACTCTAATTTGTGTCTGGTTTTCCTTTTCTGGGCTTAGTTTTGCACAGATGATCAGGTGCTTCTGTATTTCTTGTTTGCTTTTGTTTCTTCCACGTCAGGTAATGTGTTAGAGGCGCTCTTGCCCTTTGCTCGTTTCACTTACTGTATCCTGGAAACCTCTCCCTGTCATTTTACAGAGGTCTTTATTCTTTTTCATCACCACATGCTCCAGCAGCTTTTCCCTGTGAGGCAGTTAGGTTTTTCACAGTATTTGGCGGTGTTGCAGTGAATGAATGACCTTACACACATGTATTTTCATATTGTTTGACACATATTTTCAGAGACCCTTCTAGAAGTGATAAAGGCATGTAGAATTTTGTGACAGTTTTCAAAAATGATCATTAGGTGTACTTTCATTATACAACCCAGTATTTTTTTTTTTTGGTCTTTTTCCTTTTTATCGGTACCAGGGATTAAACTCACAACTGCCTGCTTGCAAGGCAAGTGCTTATGCCACTGAGCTAAATCCCCAGCCCTAACCCAGTATTCTTATCTCTGGTCATCATGCTATGGATGGAATGTTTAGAATTATTCATCCTCTGTAAGTACATCTTGTATTCCTTGACCAACATCTCCCTACTTCTCTCCTACTTCCCTTCTGATAACCAGCATTCTATTCTCTGCTAAAAAGTGTAATCCACTTTTTAGATTCCACATGCAAGTCAGATTGTGTGGCTTATTTCACTTCACGTAGTGTTCTACAGGTTGATCTACAAATGTTTCTTTCTACATTCAGTTGTTGAGGAACATGTAGCTTGTGGATTTCATGTGTTAGCTGTTGTGAGTAACACTGCAGAGAACACAGGAGGGCAGATACCTCTTCAGAGTACTCATTTCATTCCTTTGGGATATATACCAAGTAGTGGAATTGCTAGGAGGATATACAAGTTTTATTTTTAATTTTTTGGGGGAGGTGCTGGGAATTGAACTCAGGACCTGGTGCTTGCCAGGTGGGTGCTTATGCCACTGAGCTATCTCCCTGGCCTTGCTTTTACTTTTTGAGGGGTTATTTTCCATAATGGCTATTCCAGTTGACATTGCCATTAAGAATGTGCAAGGGTTCCCTTTTTCCCTTATCCTTGAAACATTTTTTAAATATATTTTTGATAACAGGTGTGAGGTAATACCTCAGTGTGATTTGGATCGGCATTTCCCTAATGAGCAGTGGTGTTGAGCATCTTTACTTACCTGTTGGTCATTGTTGTGTTTTTGGAAAAAGATCTATTCAGGTCCTTTGTTTTAAACAAGTCTATGTGATTATTTTGGCTGTTGATTTTTTTACATATTTTGACTACTTCTTTTAGAAGCAAAATACATATAACATTTTTCATTTTAATTAGTTTATTCCACAGATTGCAATCTTTTGAATTTTTGCATGAAATTTGTATGTGTTACCTAGAAAAACTCAAGGAAGAAGAATTTTCTATTCTGTTTGTTACTTTTGGAATATTGCTTCTTTGAGCAGTGTTGTGTTCATTTTTATGAGGCATCTAATAATTATTTGTAATTTTAGACCCAAATGTTCACTGAAATGCTTTGTTTTAAAGAGCAGGTCTAAGACCAGAGCACCTAGTTTTCTTGTTGTTGTTGTTTTTTTAAATTTTATTTAAGGAGAAAAAGAAAAAAAACAGAAAAAGGGTACAAGTTATACAGAATTTCAGAAAGAATAAACAGTAGGAAATCACTAGTTAATAGATTACATATTGTTATCTTAGAAATAGTTGTTCAGGTTACAAAATTAAAGCATATAAAATGGACTTTCAAACAGTGAGACTGCAAACAGTTCTGTTCAATGATCCAACAAAACTCAGTAATTTGGTTATCTATCTTATACACTTAAATATATATGCAGTTATATCCTTTAGAGCACTTTCTTTTCTACAATGACAATTACACATTTATTACTCCCACAGTTCTTATTACTTTTTATTGAAGAGAGTAAAACCAAATGTGACATAACAGAACAGAGTCAGTCAAATCAAAAGGATGGACATAATACATAATGTAAAAACAAAATATAAGGTGATCAACAATAGTTACCATACTGCCTCTTGCTATCTTAAAAAGAATAACCTATATCATCAGTTATAATAAAATTGAGCAAAACAGTAAAGAATAAAACCAAAACATTGGAGACATTACAGGACTTTAAAAGAAGATAATAGTCAACCAGAATGGGCGTCATAATGAATCTTACTGTTTTCACAGTTGTTGCCTATACTTTTGAACTTGGTACTATCAAGCAAAGCAGAATAGGGGAAAATCAGTCAAAACAAGATGGTGAGGGCAATACAGGGTTTCAAATCAAGTTAATAGGAAATCAAAGTAGGTTACTATAATGTATCCTGCTATTTTTTATTTATTTCTCGCTTAATTAAAAAGATAAAAATAAAAAAGTAAATAATTAAAAAAAGGAGATTGAGATAAAAGAGGGCATAACAACAAAACAGCGCAGGTCAAAGCATAACCATTTAAGCAAAACAGTGTTTCACCACAAGATATCCTGACATAAAAGTAGTTACCGTAGTGTCTCTTTCCTTGAAATCTTTGAGTATAACTTCGTATACTCTGGCACCAAACATATCAAGACAATATAAAACCATTCAAGAGAATGACAGTATTACAGGATATTTAGAACCAACTATCAGAAAATGACCAGTGGTTTCTGTATAATCTCCTTGTCTATAAAAGTTTTTGCTTATATTAACATATATAATAAAATCCAGTAAGATACAACCTGTTAAGACCGATGGAGACAGAAGAATAAAAGCTTGATGGGACTTCAAAACAAGATGATACTAAATCAGCACTAGCTATTATAATGTCTTGTTTTCTCCAAAATAGCTGTTCCTACCATCCAATCTTCTCTGCCTCATTTCTGTTGAGATCTTTTTCTGTTGTTTGTTGTCAGTTTGTCTTCTTCATTTCGCTTTCTGCTCCATTCATTGTGGCCTCTCTGCCACTGTTTCTGGAATCTTGGTATTTTCCTTTTTTAGAATACCCTACAGTATTCTCTGTAGAGTTGAATTGGTGGTTGCAAATTCTCCTAGTTCCTCTTTATCCTGGAAGCACCTTGTTTTTCCATCAATTTCTAGGGACAGTTGTGCAGGATATATCAATCTTGGCTGGAGGTTATTACCTTTCAAAGCTTGAATTATTTCCCCCCATGCTCTTCATGATTTGATGTTTTGTGCCGAGAAGTCTGCCGTAATTCTGATGGGTGTTTCCTTGTAAGTGATCTGTTTCTTGTCTCGGCTTTTAATATTCTGTTCTTATATTGGATTTCTGGAATTTTGACTATTATATGCCTGGGTGTAGTTCTATTTGGGTTGTAGGTGGCTGGGATCCTGTATGCCTCATACATCTGAGTATCTTTACCTTTTGCTAAATTAGGGAAATTCTCTTGGATTAGCTTGTGAATAGCTTTTGTAGTCCATTTGTTTGTGTCCCTACTTCTTTTATGTTCTTAATTCTTAAGTTATAGATCCTCTTATCATCTTCTAGCCTTTGTATTATTGCTGTTTCCTTGTTATTTTTAAGAAGTTTTTCATTTCATGCTCCCACATTACAAATCTGTCCTCCAGGTCAGATAATCTATCCTTAGTTTCTTTCAAGCTGTTATGCCAGCTTTCAATAGAGTTTTTAGTTTCCTGGTAATCTCTTTGAACCTGCTTCAATATTCTATGTTTTCTCTTATTTTCTCCATCAAACAATTCTCCCCTTTTTTTCTGTTCTTCCATTCTACCATCTGTTTTTTGTTGGGCGGTGCTTAGCATTTCTCTAACTATTCTACTTATATCTTGCTTTATTTCGTTAAATACTTCTCTTTTGAACTCGTCTATGAGGATCCGGAGATATCCCTTTATGTCTATTGGTGCTGTGTCTGATATTGCATGTTTTCTGTCCTCATTCTCCTTTGCATTTACCTTTCCTGGATCAGTGTTCTCAGGATTGGGGACTGAGGACCCTTTCTGGTTGCTTCCTCTTCCCATACTTTTTGTTCCTTCCATACAAGTGAATATAGGAGGCCCAGTTTTTTTCTCTTTGTCTGTTATAGTTTGTTTGAATTGCGCTGGCTAGGTGTTCCCACCCACTGCGGTGTACTAGGGAGACACAGACCTGGGCAGCCTCTGCTGGGCCTGCCCCTCCAGGTCAACCTACCGAAGGCTTCACTGCTAGGGTGCACCTCCAGGTGCTGGGACCTGGTTTGGACTGGCCTACTGGGTCTTAGTCAGTGGCATCACCCAGGCCAGGCATTCCCCACCAATCCCACTTGAGAGGGGAATATGTGACTAAAGTTACTGCAGCATCCTGTTGCGGCAAGTCTGCCCAGTCCCAGTATGTCCTTTGCTGAAGCTTCCTGCTCTATGGAAGGGTCCCCCTTCCGATCATTCACTGCAGGTTGATGCAGGACTCCCTGCCAGTCCCATTCTCAACTCCCTTTGCTGATTCCCACTCTCAGAGTTTTCACTTGTCTCTCTCCCTGCCGTGCTGATTTGGACGCAGCAGCGGCAGCCAGAAATTCAAATAGCGGCTTCCAATGGCGCGGGATCCAGCTTCTGCACTGAGATTTTATCTGTTCCTGTTATAGCACCGGGATTGCGTTTCCAGTTGGTTTCTCCTAGCTTAGTTCATTCCGGGGTCGGCAGGGTATATCTCCCCTTGCTTAGGACTCCTCACAACACCCCATTCCTGGATTCTAAGTAGGATATCTCAGAGAGCCTCCATAGCTGCTGCTATCTATCTGCCATGTTCTCCCGGAAGTCTGTTGTTTTGTTTTGAGTCAAGGTCTCACCTTTTGTCCAGGCTGGCCTCAAATTTGAGATTCTTTCCTCAGCCTCCCAAATGCTTAGACCGCAGGCATGTGTCACCATGCCTGGCTCTCTTCTGTTCCTATTCCCAAAGCTCCTCCCATTCCTTTTCCTCTATTGAATTACACTGCAATTTGAGCAGCTGATAGGAAGGAATAGGTGAGGTCCTGGGTCATGCAGACCCACTTTGGCCTTAAGAAAATTTAAACAAAGTAGAATTAACTTTTATCTTAAAACACAGATTTGTACTTGCTGGTGGTATCTCCAAAATTACATGTACAGTCCTTCCAATTCGGTACAAGTACAAGTTTTATTTAGTATTTTTGCAGTGCTAGGGATTGAACCCAGTGCCCCTACACTGCACACATCCCCAGCTAGTTTTTATTTTTTTATTTGGAGGCAGTATCCTCTCTAAGTCACTAAGTTACCCAGGCTGGGATTGAGCTTTCTATTCTCCTGCCTCAGCCTCCCAGAGTGCTGGGATTACGGGTATGTGCCACCATCCCCCTTCAGCACAGACAATTTTTAGAAATGAAAGTATCCTTTAAAAAATGTGCCGTGCCTCTGTTTTAAGAGTAAAGCTATTGTCTTACCTTTCTTTTTCCCTTTCACTCTTTGTCCCTTGTGCATATTTATGGCCTTCAGGTTTGCTGCAATGGCACAAGAGTGTTTGTGCAAAGGGAAATTCTTGATAAGTTCACCGAAGAAGTGGTGAAACAGACCCAGAAGATAAAAATTGGAGATCCCCTTCTGGAAGATACAAGAATGGGTCCCCTCATCAACCGGCCTCACCTGGAGCGGGTCCTGGGCTTCGTCAAGTCAGCAAAGGAGCAGGTGAGAAGGAGCGGAGGCTGGCGGGGCAGGGGAGTGCTGCACAGTTGTACAGCCCTGTGACCTTTCCCGCGTTGCTATGCACTGGCTGGGAGTGTCCCCGAGCACTTTCCGCTGTGTCTGTTGGTTTGCTCAGGACACACGTACTCTTTCAGGAATGCAAGGGTTGTATGTTTAATGCTAAAGGTGCATTCTTTTTCCTCTCTTTGGCAGGGTGCTAAAGTGTTGTGTGGTGGAGACCTGTATGTACCTGAAGACCCCAAATTAAAAGATGGCTACTACATGAGACCTTGCGTATTAAGTATGTTTTCTTGTTTACTTTGAAGTGATTTGGATTAAATACTGAGTAGCTAGAAGTGAATATTTAGCAAATTTGTATTTTCTAAAAATACAAAGCAAGGATTGGCAAAGCATGTGTTCCCACTGCTTGGGGTTAAAAAGTAGAGACCCCATCCACTTTGAAGCCTTCTGGGTACTGTTTCCTTAGAGAAGCCATAAGTTTTAGATTACCTGGGACAACATCTGCTAAGCCTGAAGCAGGGAGAACAAAAGAAATGAAAGTGAAAAATTAAAAAAACAAAAGCATATAGGTTTATTGTTTTGTCTTGCAAAACTGGAGATTGAACCCAGGGCCTCTGTGCTACATCTTCAGTCTTTAAAAAAAATTTTTTTTTTAAACTGGTTCACTAAGTTGTTACACTGCTCGCACGGGGCTCAAACTTGAGCCCCTTATGCTTCAGCCTGTCAGAGTACTGGAATTACAGGAGTGAGCCACCATGTGTGACTGCAAATGCATATTTGATCAAAATTTAAGAAATGAACTTAATTCCTCAATAAAGAAAATGATGTTTTTGGGACTGGGTATTTAGCTGAGCGGCATAAGCGCCTCCCTTGCAAGCAGGCAGTCGTGAGTTTGATCCCTGGTACCGATAAAAACGAAAAAGATAAAAAAAAGAAAATGATGTTTTTCATTTGAGCTATCAAAGATTAATATAATAAAGCCAGTTCGTTAAGTAATATGTTTGTCTTTTTAAAAATTAGGCAGTTTCATAATTTGTAGCATCTTCTTTCAGGAGTCTTAAAAATCTCCTGGTTTGAGAAATGTTTTTGTATGTCAGCTACTCCTTTATTTTATTGTCTTGCTATGTAGCCTTGAACTCATAGCAGTCCTCCTGTCTCAGCCTCCGAAGTGCTAGGATTACAGATGTGTACAGCCATGTCCAGCAGCTGCTCTGTCTCTATACCTTATCACTTTTAATGCTCCAGCATAGACTTCTTACTGCTCCCAGGGATGTCCTGTGTTATCAATCTGTGTAGGGTGATAACATATCTTCTAGGAGTATTGGGTAACGAATTATTCCAAGTAAATTCTTGGCTAGTGGTTTTCTTCGCAATTATATGTAGATGATTAGTTGCAAAGAATTAAAATATGGTAAACCATCTTTAAACACAGACTAAATATTTCCCAATCTGCTTTTCAAGATAATTCTGATGTCTCCAAAGCATATTGTGACCCACAGGTGACCAGCGTCTATATGAAGAATAGCATCTGACAAATCTCCTAAGAGATTTTAGAGTTGTTGGCTTCATAGCTCAGGAAGTGTAGTGGTTTTTAGTCTTTGGCTAAGAAAGAGCTGGTGTTTATAGTAGGGTGCTCCAGCTCTTTTTCTGGGCCCACATTGTTTACGTATGACACAGCCTTGCAAACAACATACTTCAATCCACACAGTGTCGAGATTGAGGGTCTTTGAGACTCATTGGGGTTCAGTATTGGACTTATATTCTTATATTCATATAAGAATATATGAGCTTTTTGGTAACGCATATTTTAAAGTGTCCACTATGAATTAAATCATCTCAGGAATTAGCCACTTAAGGGAATTTAAGTATATTTTTGTGCCAGGGATTTAGCTCAGTGGTGTAAGCACCTGCTTGGCAGGCACAAGGTTGTGAGTTCGATCCCCCATACCAAAAGGGGAAAAAAAAAAGGAACTTAAGTATATTTTGATGTAAAGTGAATACTTGCACAATTCCCTATCCCTTCCACTTCCTGCCCTCCTCCTCTCCCTTCTCCCTTCCTTCCCCTTTCCAAGTCCTCCCCTCCCCTGCCCTCTTCTCTCACACTAAGAAAATGTGAAAAAGGATAAAAACAATTATTATGTAACATTTTAACCGAAGTTGGCATGATTGTATACAGTTTTGTATCATTTAATGCTTCATGCAAGTTTACCATTAGGATGTGTATCATTCATGTGATCGTTTCTTATGCTTTGGCTGTATAGTTTATTGCCTCCTGTTTTTACTATTTTAAGTAAGGTTGTGCTGACCATCCTTGAAAGGAAATCTTTGTCACCTCATTAGCTATTTGATTATGATAGATTCAGAAAGGTGGATTTAGTTAGTTAGTTATCTGTTGGCACCAGGGATCGAACTCATGACCTCGAACTTGCCATGAAGACACTGCCACTGAGCTATATCCCTTGCTCTGAGAGGTGGATTTAGAGTTATACAAACTCTATGCTGGCTTAATGCCTATTGTGAAGTCACCACACAGAAAAGATGTTCAGTTTATATCCACACCGGCAACATCATACTAAATTTTTTCTAGTTATGCATTTTATTGTTCACTGGGAATAAAGTAATTTTTAAGCTTCAGAGATTTCACTGACTTTGGATTTTATACTAAATGTTTGTAGCTAATTGCAGAGATGACATGACCTGTGTGAAGGAAGAGATCTTTGGACCGGTCATGTCTATTTTACCATTTGACACGGAAGCCGAGGTTCTAGAACGAGCCAACGATACCATGTTTGGACTTGCGGCTGGCGTCTTCACCAGGTATGTGGAGGAGTTCACTTGAGGCAGCTTTGGGGATGGGGCCACAGTGGCTGCCTGGAGGGTCTGACTCCTCCCTGGAGCTTGCTCTCACTTAGGATCATCCGTGTTCTGTGTTTGCTTCAGGTGAAGTCAGAGGATGCCAGAGTAGCACTTTGTAGTTTACCCTAAATGTCCAGAGGACCCTGGTCAAGTTAGGATTGACCTCTAAATACTGCTGGTGAAAATTCTGTTCTCTATATGTTCACTGAGTAAACGTTTAAGGCTGTGATTTATGTTAAGCACTGGACTAGGTGTGTATTGAAAGCAATTCCCTCATGTAAGTGTATAAATACTGGAGTCAGGTGTGGTGGCTCACACCTGTAATCCAGAGCAGAGGCAGGAAGATCACCACAACTTCGAGGCCAGCCTGGGCAACATAATGAGTTCATGGCCAGCCTGAACTACACAGTGAGACCCTGTCTCGAAGGAAAAAAAAAAAAAAGATACTGGACAGTCCTCTTCAAAAAGCATGGTTTTTAGGGGCATTTGAGTAGTTTCTCACTGGAATTTAGGATGTTTCAGTTTTAACGATGCTAAGTAATAAGAATAATCTTCATGAGTTCAATCCCTGGTACTGATAAAAACGAAAAAGACAGAAAAAAAAATAAGAATAATCTTTATACATAAATTTTAAGGCAAAAGATGATTTGGGAGCCAATTTTGTTTGAAAATGCCCACATACTTCTTGGTTACAGATAAACTTTGCTTAAGTCTTTGGCAGCTTTCTAAGGCTGCTTTGCACTGTGTTTAGTGACCCAGAGGTCAGCTGCTCTGTGGCTTTGTGGTCCGAGACCTAGAAGAGAAGCCCGAGTCTCCCTTGAGGCCTGATACAGTAGTTATCTTTGGAGTGCTGAAGCAAAGATTGGGACTCAGCCTTTTACATTTGTGGATGGAGACGGCACAGGGCTTTTGCTTTGCTTTGCCACCTCAGTACAAAATCCAGTCACAGCAGAAGGGAACCTTAGCATGCTATTAACCTTTTCTTTTTAACAACCATACTGGGATAATGCACATGCCACACAATTCACTTAGTTCAGTAGGGAAATTGTGCAACTAGCACTGCAATCTAATTTTGGAATATTTTCAGTATATTGCTTCATCCTAAGAAGAAGCCATGTGCCCGATAACAGTTATTTTCAGCCAGATGTGATGCATGTGGTGCAGCACTCAAGAGGCTGAGGCAGAAGAATTGCTGTGAGTTCTAGGCCAGGCAGGCCTGAAATACCTAGTGAGACCTTGTCTCAAAACAGCAACAAAATAGGCATTCTCCATTTGCTCTCCTCGTTTCTATGGGTTTGCCTCTTCTGAAAAATAAATTTTTTTTACATGAATAGAGTCATATAATGTGATTTATGACTTCCTTTTTTTTTTTTTTTTTTTTGAGACAAGATTTCTATATATAATCTAGACTGGCCTAGAACTGTACCCTCAACTAGTCTCAGATTTGTGATCCTCCTGTCTCAGCCTGCTGACTGCTAGGATCACAGGTGTGTGCCACCACATCTAGTTTATTTTTAGTTTAGTTTTTTTTCTTTTCAGACAGGTTCTCTTTCTGTAGTTCAGACTGGCCTTTCACTCAGTATGAATCCTAGGCTGGCCTCAAGCTTGCAGTGATCCTCCTGCTTCAGCTTCCTGAGTGCTGGTGTTTCAGGAAGACTGTTACCATGCGTGGCTTATTTTTACTTTCTTGATTGTCTTATTTGTAACACACATTGTTAAATTTGACAAAGGCCAATTATTCTTTGTATGTGTGTGGTACATTACTTCTGCTCTCTCTCTTTTTTTCCTTTTTATCGGTACCGGGGATGGAACTCACGACTGCCTGCTTGCAAGGCAGGCACTTATGCCACTGAGCTAAACCTCCAGCCCCGATACGTTGCTTCTGATGTCACAGCCAAGGAGGCTTTGTCTAACCCAAGGACATAAGGACATTTTTTTCCTGTGTTTTCCTCCCAGAGTTTCTGTAGTCTTTGCTCTGACATTCTAGATCTGTGATCCACATGAATGAATTTTTGTATATTGTGTAATAGAAAAGGGATTCATCTTTAACCTTTTGCATGTATTAGTTCTCAGCCTATTTGTTGAAAAGACTGTTTTCCTCACTGGTTTCTACACCCTTGTTAATATTTATTTTATAGCTCCCATTTGGATGATACTATAAATCTTAAAATCTGTGCCTATTTTGCCTCAATGATAAAAAATTTTAAAACATTTTAAAGAAACAAACATTTGGCAAGCTTTGGAACCCTTAAAAGTAGACCCTGACTTTTCTTGGAAAGTAGTAGTAACCGGCGTGCTTCCCTTGGTAGGGATGTCCAGCGTGCTCACCGCGTGGCGGCCGAGCTGCAGGCGGGAACCTGTTACATCAACAACTACAACGTCAGCCCAGTAGAGCTGCCCTTTGGGGGCTGTAAGAAGTCAGGTAAGGAGCTGACCGGGTCACTTCAGGAGAGACCAGTGTCCCCAAACCTGCCTGCGTGTTAAGAGTCCCGTCCTCTGAGGATGCACTGGAGACTCTGGGAACCGAGGCCAGCACCTCTAGAAGGTTCTTACATGGAGCGCGCCTGTGAACTGCTGAGGCACGTCTCAGGAAGCGTCTTCATTGGGGAGAATCTGTGATGATCATGGTCATAAAGCCACTGCTCCAGGAGTTCAGGCGCTGTCCATCAGCAGGGTAGCAGAGATTAGTTTGTTTTCTCTGCTAGGCCAAATTAGTCTCTTAATTTAGTATATCACTATCAGTTGTAGCCATCATTGTCCTAGTTGGTAGTTATGGGCATTTTCCATCCTTCATGGCCACATGAAGGATTACACATCTGTGACAGATGTGTAAGTCTGGCTGTCAGCAGGTGGAGGCACCGGGAATGGAGCTCTTTCCTCCAAAGTCTGTTGCCCGTTAGTTTCCCGTACTGCTCTTCACGTAGATTCAAAATAGAGTGACCTTTTAGAAGTGTCATTGTGAGAATCCAACCCCTGGGCTCTGTAGCAAATCTTTACAGCCATCACATCAGCAAATATATAAACCCTGCTGGCCACTGATGAGATAGATGGGGGCATTAATTTGACAGCCCCATTGGTTATTTAGCATTATCCCAGCACTGCCTACTCATGCCCTGCTGGTATCTCCATGGAGAGGAAAGGGATGCTCAGAGGAGCCGCGCACATGGGCACAGATGCAAGTGGGAAGCATGGTGCCCTTGCATTTGGCTCTCACCTTTAGTATGGGGACAGTTTGCTTGGAATCTGCAACTTAGACTTGGCAGGGTAGGGGGTGGGGTGTCCCAGGCCACGTTTTGATTCCCTTGGGACCAGGCCTACATAGAATGAGGAAGAAGAACAGCTAGATCTGCCATGCAGTACCTTCCCTGACCTGCTAACACGCTGTGCTCAGAGACTTGGAAAGGAACAAGGGAGAGCAAAGTCTTGGCCAGACCTTTGAGCATGTTCTCTTTTGAATGGCACCTACAGATGGGTGTCCTTTTGGGGACCTGCCTCAGTCTGGGGCAGCGCAGAAGATAGGACCAGCAGAGGACACTGTCGTGTTATCACAGTGACCGTATGCATCAGATAGGACAAGGTCACCAGGGTACAGGCTGTAACAGCAGGTCACTTGCAGGTTTAGTGTGAAAGGTTCGGGAACTTACGACATAAAGTGAAATTTTAATTTAGCATCTCCTTTCAAGGCCAGAAGGTTGATAGTTTCAGAGACTGACTTAACACGTAACAGATTATCCTAACAATGACTACAACAACAAAAAACCCAAATGATACCTGTGTATTAAAATGTCATGGTCCCTAGAGATCAGTGGGTCCTACTTCCCATCCAGAGCTCCACAGCTAGGGCATGGATGCAGGCTTTGTCCTCAAGTGTTGAGGTTCTGGGTCCCCTGCCCCCACCTGGGAAGTGGTACCCATCGTTAAGGAAGATTGTGACTTTTCAGACAGTTGTGGCAGTGGCTTCCCTGACCCCTTCCTTTCCTTTCAGGGTTCGGCAGAGAGAACGGCCGTGTGACCATCGAGTATTACTCGCAGTTGAAGACCGTATGCGTGGAGATGGGTGATGTGGAGTCTGTGTTTTAAGCCAGGCTGTGGGAAAAGAAGAGTTTGCTCTCTTGACCAAGGCAGGATAACGGAGGAGGACCACTTGCAGTCCAGATTTCAGTCATTCAGATTTAAACAGTGGTTTAATGGTGTTCTTCATCTTTCAACCCCTTTCCCCTAACTGACGATGTGCGTAAGTGCCTCTTATTTACACAGGAATCAAGGCAGTTTTGATTTTCCTGGCAGCAAATTTCTGTGTAAGCTTTAAAAGTTAGCAACAGATTTCCAGAAGACAGGTAGGGTTTTACAGGTAGAGAGCATAATCAGGATTATATTTCTTCCACACAGCTGACCAGCAATGTTAATTCTTTAGCTAAGGAACTTCTTTCATTGCAGTTTCCTGGCAGAATCAGTAGAGATGATTTCTACTCACTGGCATCTTTTTTTTTTTTGGGGGGGGGGTGTCTCTTATTATTCCTTTGAGAAAGCTAATGACTGGGATAGAGAAGGGATTAGATAATTGACAGGGGCACTTTAATCCATTCTGCTATGATGGAAAAAATGTATCTCTGGTCCTAGAACTATAGCTTGCTGTCCTTCATGCCTGTTCAATGCACAAATTGGGAGTACAAATAGAAACATAAGTGCACAAATTATTTGTATGCTAATGTAGTATAGTTAAAATAAAGTCACATTATTAATCCTTTTGTGTGTTTTGAAACTCATCACATTTTGAAACTAGAGGGGGCAGAGGTGAAAAGCCTGATTCCTTGCCATGAGCACGGAGGGTGCGTGGAGTTGCAGCGCCTGTCTTTGTTCTCCCCCGTGTGGTAGACAGTGCCACCCCGAAAAGCTGTCAGAGCCCTGGGACTTGGATGCTGTGCAGTGGCGCTTCCTTCCCCTGCCCTCTTCCTTCTTTTGGGGGACCGATTAATAACTGTGCCATGGCTTACATCTAGATGTCATCCCAGCGCCTCATGCCGTCAGAGATGGGGCTTTTGGGAGGTGACTGGATCAAGGGAGGGTGAATGTGGAGTAAGGGTGTAAGTAAATTAGTCCACTTATAGGTTTGGCATCATTCTGGGTGTGGGTAGCTGGAAGGCCCACCCTGGGTTTGGGTAGCACCACCTGTATCAGTCAGGGTTCACTAGAGAAACAAGATTGGCTTATGCTGGCCAGCCACAGAGTCAGATGAGGAAGTGTGCAGAGGTGTCTGCACAAGGAGGCTGAAGGGTCCATCCCAAGGTCTGGAGGTCACTGCAGTGTCTTGCGCAAGTCTGTATCAGGAGGCCAGTGGGTCTGCGATGGAATATGGAAGAATCTACAACAAAGGCTGAAGAGTCTGAGGCACAGTGCGCCAGGTGCCAGGAGACGACATCCAAGCTGAAGGCAAGACTGGAGCTCCTCTGAAGAACCAGCAATCAGTCCTTCCTCATCCGCCTTCTGTTGTGTGCAAGCTACTCCCCTCGGTTGGTGTAGCACTCACACCATCTGTGTGCCTTCTTGCACAGGCTGAGGATGTTACAATGTCCCCCTTTCAAATCACTTAAACTTGTGACCTTCTCAAGTTGATATGATGTATCAACCATCACACCAACCAAAAGGTGCTAGCCTGGGTGAGATGAAAGGAAGGAAGGTTTGCTGTTGCTGCTTCACGGCTTGCTGCTGCAGCTTCCTGTCTGCCCTGCTACGGACTGTTTTTACTCTGTCATTCCCCTCTGCCATGCCACCTTGCCTTTGAGCCAGCCAACTGTGGACTGAAACCTCTACAAACTGAACTGAAATAAACCTTCCTCTTTTAACTTGTGAGTGTCGGGTATTGTGTCTTAGCAACAGGAAAAGTAACTAAGACAAATCACTGCTGTAGTAGTCAAAGATATATGATGTCTGTTGCTACTGGACCTGGATCTAATTATGTATCAAGGTGGGCAAATGCTATAGTTTTAGAGCTTGGGAACAGCGGAATCATCCTTTCCTGGTGTTTGCTGGTACAGAGGACACATGTAACACCGAGTGGGGCTTCAGCGGTATCTCACCCTGCATCCTAGGAGCCTTGTGCAACATAAATATCAGGAACTACCTAGAAGAAGACAGGTTTCCGATGGTTCCTATGCAGCCAGGGGAGGGAGCCAACATTTGAGTACTTAGAGAGTCCCCACTGCTACATCCCATCTCATTTAATGCTCATAATAAACCTTTTCTCTCTCAATGATCTCAGGTACTTCCTTGTACTGATGGAAAACAAATAGAGAATCCTTTTCCTCATGTTGAGTAGCATTGCTTGGTTTACAGCCTCTTTTATTGTCTAAGTTTGTAATTTAGGATCTTCAGATCTCCCTTTATACCCTCTTTAAGGACATTGTGATTGAACATAGGTCCTGCCTAAATAGTTCATAATAATTTTCCATCTCAAGATCCTTAATTTTATCTGTGAAGTCCTTTTGCCATAAAAGGGAACATCCACAGGTTCTGCCTGTAATCCCAGCACTCAGGAGGCTGAGGCAGGAGGATCACTGCAGGTTGGGCACCAGCCTGGGATATATAGTTCAAGGCCAGCCTAAACTACATAACAAGACCCTGTCTCAAAAAAAAGTTCTGGGCATTAGAATGGAGCCATATCTTTGGAGACCACTATTGAGCCTGCCTTACCCCTGCATGGTCCCAAGTGTGTTTCAGATGTCATTAGCTTAAAGATTTAAACGGACTTAAAGATTTGAATGGATTCTGTGAAAAAAGCTACCCGTTTGTTAATGCAGTGTCTTATAAGAATACAGCCAGCCATTTCTATCCTTGAGTTTCATATCTGCAGATTGAACGTATTTGAAAATCAAAAACTGCCTCAGTGCAGTGGGAGTGTAGCTCAGTGGTAGAACAAGGCCCTGGGTTTGATCCCTAGCACCACACATGAAAATCATACTGAACGTGTACAGCCCTTTCCTTTCATTTATTCTGTACACAACACAGTGTACCAACTATTTACATAGAATTTATGTTGTAATAGGCATTGTAAGTGATCTAGAGACAAGAGAATATGCATAGGTTATATGCAAAGGCCTGTACTGTGCCATTTTACATAAGGGACTAGATCCAGTTCTCCAAGGAAGCAGTTCAGATAAAGGGATAGGATGCTAAGGGCCACTTATAATACTTAACATGTACAAAATGTACTCTGTTGGCTTTCTGTCCCTGGGAAAAAATACCTGAGATAAAAAGGGAAAGATTTCTTTGGCTCATGGTTACAAGGTGTTGATCCATGGTTGGCTGGGTCCATTGTGTTTGGGCCTATGGTGAAGCAGAACATCTTAGACGAGCGTGGCAGAGCAAATCTGCTCATCTTATGGCAGCCCAGAAGCAGAGGGTGGGGAGTGGCCAAGGAAAAGATGGACCCTTGAAAGACATCACTAGTGATGTCCTTTCTGCAAAAAGACTCATTTTCTAGTTTCTGACCCCACAATAGTCCAGTAAACTCTGAGTTTGTCAGTAGATTAAACCGTTTTGCCTGTCACCTCTAAAGGCCTCATCTCTGAACCCTGCTGCATTGGGGACCACATGAGTGTCTGGGGGCTGTTTCATATCCAAACCATAAAATAAAAGTCAGAAACACTAACTTAACCAAGAGGCCAGGTCTTCCTGTGTTTGGAAAGTTGTATTAGCCAGCTATTTTCCTGGGGTAATCTATTTTTCCTCTACTATTTTGATTTATTTTCTGTTTGTTTTGCTTTTTTTGAGACAAGTTTCCATATTCTAGGCTGGCTGAACTCACTGTGTAGCTGAGGTTGGTCTTGAACTCATGGCAGTCTTCCTGCCTCAGCCTCCTGAGTGCTGGGATTACTGGTCTGTGCCACTATACCCAGCTTTTGATTTACTTCCTTTCGCTCTAATCTCCTCCTCGTTTCTCTCTCTAATCTCTCCCAGATGTCAGTCCTGTTAACATTTCTGTGTATATCTCTCCTAGGACTTCGTTTTTATCGGTACCAGGGATCGAACTCACGACTGCCTGCTTGCAAGGCAGGCGCTTATACTGCTGAGCTAAATCCCTAGCCCCACACTATTATGTTTTTAAGATTAGGTTCCTATACTAAATATATTGATAGAATTTTCTCTCGAAGTTATTAATGTAATTTTTTTTTAAAGCAGCCTCCTGTGTGGTTCACTCCTTTGCAATAACTTAAGAGTCCTGTGTTTTTAGTCAGTGTGTGTGAACGGTCCCTAACTCTGGCAGGCCTCCTACAAGGACAGCCACGGGGCCCTTCGTTTCTTCTCTGCAGAACTTTAATTCTTGCACTAGAGGCCCTGGTGCTGCATAAGGCAAGAACCTGGCAGAATGGAAGTTGCACACCACTCCTTCCAGTCAGACATTGAAACTTCTAGAAGTCCACCCGAGTCCTCCTCTGCTTTTTATAATGTTGAGGTCTCCACCCCAGCTTCTCTGAAATGCCATCTACTGAGCTGGGCTTTCTTCTGAAATAAAGATGAATCTGTTTCTTATACCTAAAGATCAAATATTTCTGTCTTTCTCTTCAAGATACACGTGGGGCTAGATATCAAAGTTAATAAAAGAGAATTAGCAATTAAATAACAGTGTAAAGAACCATTTAATGTCAGATCAGTAGCCAGCCGTCTTCAGAGGAAACCACATTCCCAGTCAGCTGTGTTAACACTTGTCCTTTAGATCTTGCTACAGCTTTCAGTTGCAGTTAAAATTGAAACTTCTTGGCCAGGCAAGATGGCTCATGCCTGTGATTCCAGCATGGGAGACTGAGGCAGGAGGGTCATTGTGAGTTTGTGGAAAACCTGGGCTGCACGCTTCAGAGTCAGCCTGAACTACATGGCAAGACTGACCAAAACAAAATAAAACAACAACAACCCCCTTAAACTTCTTGTCATGACCATGGGCCTGTCCTGTCTTTATCTGTGTCACCCTCCTTGTTCACCCCTCATTCCTTTACCAGGCTTCTTTCTGCCTCAGGGATCTCAAAATTAATGTTTTCTCTTCTTAGAGCATGTTTTCTCTAGAACAGCAGTTTGCAGACTCCTTAAAACTAAAAACTAAAGCTCTACCTCTTTAAAATGAAAGTAGCCACAGCATACACCTTGTTACCCTATTTCATTTATTTATTTAAGGCAGGGTTTCCCTATGCGGCTCAGGCAGGCCTTGAACTCACTTTGTAGCCCAGCCTGGCCTGGAAGTCTCAGGTATCCTCCTGCCTCAGCCTCCTGAGTGCTGGAATTACAGGTGTGTGCCACTGCACCCAGGTTATTTCATTAATTTGAAACATTTATTGCTGTTTGAAATTGTTTAAATGCTACTTATATCTTCCTGGATTGGAATGGAAACGAAATGGGAACTCTGGCTGCTAGACAGTGACAGAATAATACTTGGATAGGTGCTGCTCAGTGTAGCTCAGGGCCAGCAGCAGCTGCTTCTGAGTCTGTTCCCACCTCAGATCTATGAATCTGAATCTGCGTTTTAATAAGAACCTCAGGTGATTTATAAGCACGATCGTTTTCCAGCTAGTGAATTTAGAGCAATAGTTCTCAGCTTTGACTGCACATTAGAGTTGCTCAGAGACAGCATTAAAATTACTGCGAGGCTAATTGAATTGTTCTGGGCATCTGGAGTCTTAAAAGATCCCCAGATGAATTTAATGGGCAACAGACCGGAGAACGGCTGCAGGTACACTAATATTTCTTATATTATCTAAGTACAGTTCCTACTAGCCAATGTAATTATATTTAAGCTAATTAAGTGACTGAGCTCATCAGTTACTTATATTTCAGGTACTCGGTACCCCAAATGCTAGTTACCGTGCTGGACAACGTAGATACAGCACATTTCCATCATGTCAGTTCTTTTGCATAGTGTGGCTTAAGAGCAATGGAACCGAGTGACTGGTTTTTGATTCTATTAAATAGCAGCACAGTGTGGGTAAGAAAAGGAAACAGGCAAACCAGGTTGTGGAGTCCCACCAGCAGGTGGCGCCTGAGCCGGCCTCTGGCCACACAGTCCCCTCCCTAGGCACTCTGCCTGCATTATTGTTTAATCCTCTAGAATTCTGTGCAAGAAGTATTACTGTACTCCACTCAGAACCAGCAAGCTGAGGTTTGGAAGGTGAATGGACTGTTAAAGGCACATAGCTACCTGCAGGTGGGCACAGCTAACACACAGTATGGGTTCACTCATTTTAAAGCTTGATGTGGGACAGAGTATAGAAAGAAAGGCATATTACAGTTCTATGAAAATCAATCCTCACCATCCTGGCTTTTTCCTACACTGGGGAGAGTGTCTCATGAGTTACACCTGAGGATGTGCTGAGCTAGTACTAACTCTGAATGCCCAAAGACTCCACGTGACCATCTGCCCAAGGCTATCTTCGGTGGCTGTTAAGAGTTGGAATCCTAAGTGTCCCCCTAAAAGGGGGCCCACTGTCTAGAAGCCTTGGTTGACTGCTGTGGGCTTTTTGGACAATTCCTGTAGCATGAGGGTGCTGACCTCATCAACGGATCAGCCAGAATTCGATGGCATTATTAGGCAAGGGAAAGCAGAGGTGGTCCGCAGTTGAAGTGTATGGATCATGGGGTGCATGGTCCCCTCCCCACTTGCTCTCCTTCCTGGCTGCCATAAGGCGAGAAGCTTTCTTCTGCTTCACCCTTCCACACATATCGTAAGCTAAAACAATTTGAACTGGCTACTAAGCACTTGCAATATGACTAGTGCAGATGAAGAGCTGGTGTTTTTGGATAGTCCTTTGATTAAATGTAACCTAGAGAGCCCTATGTGACTAGTAGGTGGTTATGCTTATGTCTAGATGTCCCCCCAAAGCCTCATGTGGTCATAGGTGGGGCTTTTTTAGAGATATCTGCATTCAGAGTATGTGGCTGACTCGTGGTACAATGTTAGAATTAAGGGTGGGTGATTAGTAAGTCAGTCTGACTGGTTTGGCACCCGCCCCAAAACTGGTAGCCTAGAGAACATAAAAGTGATAGAAAGACGCTAAGGCCCCTTGCTTGCTTGTTTTGCTCCCTTCTGCCTACCATGACTATTTCTCCTTTATGATGCCCCTCTGCCATGCTTTCCGCCTTCGTGCCAGCCGAGTATGGAATGAAACCTCTATAAACTAAGCCAAATAAACCTTTCCTCCCTTAACTTTGGGTGTTCAGTATTTTTTTGTCTCAACAATAAGAAAAGTAGCAGATTAAAGTTACTCTCTTGGTCCGCACAGGATTAGAAGCTGTATTTCCACTAATGTAGTTATGGCCACTTTCAGTTTTGGAGCAGTGATCATATTTTGCCAATGTGTAACATTCTCCAAATAAGGAAAGCTTTTTCCCCATTTGCACATAAATGTATCCTTTCCCATTTGCAATCAAATCTTTGAATCCAAATGTAGAAATTTACGTTTATCTCTATTAAGTTTTATCTTAAATTTAGCCTATCACTTTGGTTTTTAAGCAATCTTTTGATCCCCGCCCCCTCGGTACTGGGAATTGAACTCAGGACCTACATTTGCCAAGCAGGCACTGTGTCACAGAGCCATATCCCCAGCCTCAGTCTTTGATCTTTAAAAAAAATCCTTACTCTTGCTAATTATCAGCGCCAAGTGATGAGATCACAGCTAACCAGAGCCATCACACTACACTGCCCTTAATTTTTCACTGCTGCAGCATTGTTACGAACATACTACTACAGTCAGACTTCTGTCAGCTTTACCTACTGTGAAAGAGTCTGCGGCAGGAGGAGGAGGGATATTCAATACCATGGCTCCTCTCATCAGGGGTAGGCAGAGGCGAGCTATTTTAGAACTTCAACAAGAAACTAGTGGCAAGAGTCAGGAGGTTTAGGTATGAGGCTGATGCCAGATAAGTTTTTATTATATTTAGAAAAAAAATGTTAACTGGAAATAAAGGTAAGTCATTCAAGATGAATGAGAGTTCTTAAATCCCTATAGTTCTTCCGTGGCAGTTCCCACCGCCCAAGCCAGATTTAACCCAGCCAAGGTGCTGGAAAGCAGAGCACACAGTTGTGCCCATCAAGGCGAGGAGGGCGAAAGACCCCATGGCTCCTCGATACCGCTTGCTGGGATCTGAAAAAGAAGGAAGCAAAGTCACCAGAATATCCACAAGCCAGTCACCCGCAGTATCTGGGGTGTACACCCAACAGGCTGGCCTTGGGCGGGGGTGACCAGCTCTAGTCTAAGGCCACTAGGATGTCACATGCCTGGGAGTGCAGCACACACCTACAACTCAGCAATCTGGGAGGCTGAGGTAGGACCTCAGGCTTTCACATTGTAGTGAGATCTTGTCTCCAAATAAAAATTTAAAAAGGGATGGGGACGTGGCTCAGTGTGGGTTCAATTCCCAGTACTGGGGAAAATTTTTTAAAAAGCTGCACACAAAATAACCTGCAGTTTCCTTTGGATCTTCCAAGATTATGGGTCAATAGTTAATTAACTGCTTAACAGTTTACTCTGAGGGTCACTTGGGCAGCGTGTTTATTTACATACTATTCTGAGCATCTCTCGGGCAGGTGTTGTTTCACCCAGTAATTTTTTTTTTGGTGCTAGGAATAGAACTCAGAATTTTGCACTTGCCAGGCAGGTGATGGTGCCACTGAGCTGAACCTATGGCCTCATTCAGTAAATTCTTGTACTGAATAAATTTGGTAAATTTGGTCATTTTTATATCGCCTGTTATCTTATAAAAATTAATGAAAAAATACACAGGTTTTGGTCTTCCTGTATTTAAAAAATTGGACTGGTAAATGGTTAAAGCAACTGTGCTATAAGATATCTGGAAGTTACTGCCTTCTTTTTCAAAGAAGTACACCCCAAAATGTCTCAAGAACCACAAGTGTCTTGTTTCCCTTCTCTCTCAGGTGCACCACTTAAGAGTACTGTTAGGTGCTGCAGTCACCCTGCCCGGTTTTCATATAGAAAATTTACACTCAGCAGCAGCGTGACCTGAGCTCAGCCTTCACCTGGTGAGCCTCAGTCACCCCGCAGGATAGATGGATGTTGTCATCTACGCATACCATTGCTGCAAGGGTACACAGCATGGGCAAGGTTTATACAGAGGCAGTTGGCAGAAGGAAAATGCTCAGTTAAAAAATAAGGTTTTGTTTTGTAGGTTTATTTTTTGTGACAGGATCTTGCTATGAAGTTTAGGCTGATCTTGAATTTAGACTGGGCTCTTGAACCCACAATAATGCTACCTCAGCTTCCCGAGTGCTGGGATTTACACCACCATGCCCCACATAAAAGATGTTTGGTTATAATTCAAAAGCTAATAAAAAGAATAAAGATAGTAAACCTTTCACCTTAATTATCAAGCTATTTCTCCTTTCCTTCCCTACTTTTCCTCTCTTTCCCCCCGCTTTTTTTTGAGATAGGGTCTCTTTGCAGTTCAGGCAGGCTTTGAGCTCTCTTTGTAGCCCAGGCTAGTCTTGAACTCAAAATGATGCTCCTGCTTCAGCCTTCCTAGTGCTGGGATTACAGGTGTGCGCCACCATGCCTGGCTCGAGATAGGGTCTTGCTATGTGGTCCAGGCTGGCATAAAACTCACTATGATTGAATCCAAACTCAAGATCCTTCTGCCTCAGCCTCCTAAGTGCTGAGATTACAGGTATGAGCCACCATACCTGGCTGCATTTCCTCTAGCCTGCCCCTTTGAGACAGGTCTTCCTATGTAGTATAGGCTGGCCTTGAATACACGGTAATTCTGCCTCAACCTCCCAAATACTGTGGTAACAGGTGTGTGCCACCACACCCAGTTATTTCCCCTTTTCTTAAGCATGCTAAGAAGAAAAATATAGCAGCACAGAATTTTAAATTTATTTCCCCAACCAGATGTCAGCATCTGCTTACCGCCTGTGTAGTAGCCATATGCATAAAGAACTCGTCCAACAATCCAGGCCAGGCCCAAGCCAGAAGCTATACGCTAAAACAAAAGGGTTACATTAGTGTCGGTAGTAAAGAAATAGGCAATCTTTTTTTTTTTTTGTCTTTTTTGTTTTTATTGATATTAGGGATCGAACTCACAACTGCCTGCTTGCAAGGCAGGCACTTATGCCGCTGAGCTAAATCCCCAGCCCCTTAAATAGGCAATCTTTATTAACACTGAGAGGTAAAGCAACATGTTACTGTGAAAGGTTAATGATTTTATGGATTTGCTAAGATACTCTCTACCAAAGTTAGGGAGCAGTAAGTAGTTTCAGCCAGGAAAATCAAACACCCGTGATTCTCCTGTGACTTATGTTACAGCTTGTATCTCGATGTCCCCCCAAGGCCTCATGTGGTCACAGGTGGAGCTTTCTGGAGGCGGCTGGATCTGGGGTGTGTGATGCTGAGATTAAGAGTGTGTGATTACTAAATCAGTCACTGATAGGTCTAGTAACTTCTGGGTGGAGAAAGAGGGACAGAAAGAGGGCTGGAGCTGTCTTTTGCCTGCATCACCTGTTTCTCCTCTGGGAAGCCCCTCTGTCACACCACCCTGCCTTGGAGCTAGCTGATTACAGACTGAAACTTATACAAACTGTGAGCTAAATAAACCTTCCCTCCTTTAACTTTGGGTATTAGGTATTTTGTCTCAGCAATGAGAAAAGTAACTAAGATACCCTGCTCATTGACCCCAGAGCTGGACACTGGCCTAGGCAGGGCAGCTGGACAGAATCTCCCACCTTGTCTCAAGGAGCTCGGGAACCTGTGCTAGTGCTCAGGATGGGGACAGGCAGGCCTGGGGCCTCAGGGTGAGTGGGAAGAGGACACTGACCAAAAGTGAGGACCAAGGCAAAGCCATAGTGTCCGAAATGAGTCCCTGAGCACAAAGCGGACCCCGAACTCCAGCTGATATGACTGCCTGGCATCCAGGGAAGTTGCCAACAGGGAGGGTCAGTAAGCAGCTGGTGCCCCTGCCTACGCATCCACTAGGAAACATGGGGGGAGTGTGTCAAACTGTGAACACCTACATGTGGTGGTGGAGGGTCCCCTCCAATTTTCCACATCCTTGAGAAAACAGTGAAAAACTGAGATAAAAAATCCTCCCATTGGGTGCCATGCAAGGAGAGCTCCATTTGGCCAGAAGGAATAAGAGGAAAACAACAGAGTTGTGTGGGCACCTTCAGGGGGGGTAGGGGCTTGTTTGTTGGTGCTGACTCTGGCTAAACCTAAATATCAACAGGAAGATGAACTGAAAATGAAAACCACAATCTCCCAAGTCACTATAAGCTTGTAGTCTCTACCAGGGCTTTTTTTAAAAAAAAATTAAACTCAAGGCCCTTGTACTGAGCTGCATACCTTGTCCTTATTTATTTTTTACTACAGGGTCTTGCCAAGTTGCTAAATTGTCCAGGCTCAATTTGAAGTTACAGTCTTTCTAGCTTGGCCTCCCAGAGTGCTGGGATTACAAATATGTGTCACCAAGCCAAATGCTGTATAATCACTATCAGTCTAAGAATTGTGTAGTCTAAGAACTCTTACCAGCATTTGTAAGAACTAAGCAAAGAGAGAGGGATCTGGGGAAGTGGAACAGGAATGAAGTGGGAGAGGGGTGCTCCAGTGACGTCAAGAGACACAGGGCAACTCAGACCAGCCATCAGGTCACTTCCTGAGAATGGGACACCAGAGAGAGAGAGGCAGGCCCCAGAAAGAAATGCCAGCCCCAACCCATGCAAGAGCAGTTGATACTTCTGTTTAAAAAACAAGGAAGAACAAAAAAACGCAGGTCTTCGGGTCAAGAACTAGATGTGCAATTTTGGCACCCAACTAACCAAGTGCAGAGCTGTTGGGGCACAGCCCTGAGACACTGCCAGATCTGGAACCACGAGTGGGGAGGGTAGAGAGCTGCTCAGAACTCAGCTCTGGACCACTGAGCTGGGGAAAGGACAGTACTTTCTGTCCAAGACAAAACCTAGATGGCAGCTAAACTGAAGTGGAGACCGAATCTTTGGCCTGAAGGGCTGTGCCAGGAAGGCTGCAAAGCCCTGCATCTGCCCTGCTGCTTTCTGCCCTCTCTTTGTGCCCTCTGGGCCTCCCCGCTGCTCACCAAATGGACCAGCAGCTCCTGTCTTGGCCTTACCCACAGCCTGGGTCTCTGCCCCAGGATGCCAAGGCTGTGGTTCTCTCAGTGTCACGTACCCGTGACCTTCTCAGCAGGACCTTCCTCCCTGAGCACGATTCAAAATTGTCTGCTGTACACTTCCTCCCACCTCCCCGCTTTGTCTGAGGCTGTGCACTGGCCAGAGTCCCACTGGAAACATTACTTACTTTATGCTGCTCTTTTGTTTGCGATCCCCAACCAAAAGGCAGCTCCATGAAACCAGCATCTCTGCCTATTTCACGCACTGCTGTAACCTCCAGAGGTAAATGCTTTTTACTTGGATGAACGAAAATGCTTATGGACTTGGGAGCTTTTTAGAATCAGCTGGACCTGAGTTCAAAGTCTGATTCTTCTACTCTGTAACTACTTGGCTTTAGAAAGTTAATTAGTATCCAAGGGAATTTTCCTGATCTGTAAAAAATGGGAGAAATGTCACCTACCTTTAATGGACTTTGTAAGAAATAAGTAACTAAATAAAATCCTCTAAATGTGTGGTGCCTCAACAGTGAAGATGCTTATTCAGTGTTCGTTTCCTTTTCCTTCTCTCATACTAAAGCTCACTGAACTCAGCCCAAACACATGAAAACCCCCCAAAAAACTTACCGGGTGGTAAACACCTCCAACAGTTAGGAAAAACAGGAAGGGAGGGTACACTTCCAACCTGAAACACACAGAGAGGAACTTATTAAAAAGTGCACCCTTGTTAATTGTGCTTGCAGGGAAGGAACCTGAGAGTAAAGATGGATGTTGCCTAGAGGAGAAGCCCCAGCTGCTGATCCCCAGCCACCTGCGCTGTGCCCCAGAGCAGAGGTGGGCTTAGAACGTGCACAGTAAAAGGGCCTGATGCTGATGATCCGATGCAGAAGCCTCGGTGGGCACAGTGGGTTTCCTTACAGAAACTGTTTTCTTTCTAGGACATCAAGGTTCGACATCAGTTTAGGTGAGATCTGATGCAAATGCTTTAATGAAGTGTTAGTGACATTTCTGAAAAGATTATACAGAAATATCACTACTCCTTTTATTTTTTTGGTACCTAGATTTGAACTTAAGACCTCGTGCTTGCCAGGCAGGCCTTCTGCCACTGAGCTTATGTCCCTGACCCTCACTGAATTGGTGGTGGTCCTCTTGCCTCAGCCTCCTGAGTGCTGGAATTACAGGTATACACCATCACCCCTGGTCGTAGTGATAGTTTTAATGCAGTGCTCATAACTGTCACTGTAACACTCAGCAAATACAGAGCACCAAGGGCTGAGGTGTGGGACAGGAGTGGTATCATCTGCAGATGGCTCTGGCACCTCACAGGGCCGACACTTACGTGTTCTGGTGGGCTCGCTGAATGCAGTTGAAGAGATGCCCGTTCTCAGGGTCTGTGCTATACATGACAGGATACTGTTTCAATAAAACACATGAGTTAAGAGTTCAGATTAACCTTGAAAATAATATATCCAAACCATCTTTTGTGGTACCCCTGACAGACAACCTTTTGATGCTGCTTAAATATTTACAGTCGCAAAAGTCTCAATTCACAGAAGCAAGATGTTTCCATTAAGAATCTAGAGATTGGAGTGTCTGTGCTATGACCAGACAAGGCGGACTGCTATGCACGGACGGAGGACTTCAGATGCATCTCAGACACTGGCACACAGCACCGTTCCGAAGAGAACTGAGTGGGTGCGGGTTTTAATGGAAGTGCCCATTAGAAGAAAAAGAGACAAAAGGAGATAAGGAAACTTTAAAAGAGGCTCCAGTGATGGAGTCTCATTACAAGTTGCTAAGCAGAAATAGAGATTTAATTGCTCACCAGGGAGAGATTTAGAAATTATCCCTACTAACTCAGCTAGAACTAACGGAAGTATTTAATAGCCCTCCCTCCGCCGTGTCTACTGTCTAAGCCCGGGCTGAGCTTAATGTCTCTTTTACACTTGGAAGACAGGAAAATTACCTGAAGACACCATCTTTAAAGTGGCACACCAAGGACAAAGTTGCCTTTTTAGAAAACAGCTCTTTCCTGAAAACTGCTATAGCCCAAAGCAAACCATTCTAACCCCAGCTCCCTAGTCTTTCTATGGAAGTCAAAGTAAAAACAAGATGCAAACGACTGCTTAGCAGGACCTCGATTTCCTATCTCCTGCCCCAAAGGAGCTGAATTTCTAATAGGCACAGCCAGCATCCACCAGCAGCAACTCCCCTCTTCCTCCATGACTGAAAACAAGTTCTTGTTCCTACTCACCTCCACCTTGTACTTCTTGCGGGCTTTGCCAACGTTCATGGCAAGATGCAGTACCATGACAAAGCTGGCGGCACCCGTGAGCATCACGAACCCATACTCCTTGGAGAGGACGGCCATGCTGGCGCTGTGGAGAAAGCAACCATGCTGGAATACTGTCCCCGGAAACACCATGCAGTCCAAGGCCTTGGGGGCAGGACACCCCATTCCCAGTTAATGCACCATACAAATAAAAAGGGGTGTCTCTCAGAGACCACCAGAAATACACTCCAAGAGAAGCGCACAGTCACAGATCATGTTTTCTTTTGTGTTCAGGATCTCTTCCTCAGCATTCTATTGAGAAGATTTATCTACATGGTTGCAATGGTTCTAGGCATCACTGAACACTGCATTTTGAGAAATAGGATACATTAGACAGAGAGAGAAAGAGAGAAAAGAGAGAGAAGCAGGATACAAAATATGTACACCATGATTCAATGCTTTTTGCCTTTCAGAGAGGGGCCCTGGGAAGGAGGTCGGGAACTCTGAGGTGTCCCTTTGATCCGGGGTCCTGGGGCAGAAATCTCACACTGGCAGGACAGTGAAAGGCTCCATTCCAGTGCTCTGAAAGCAGGTCATGGCTCCTGAGCCCATGTGTGCCAAGGCGTACAGGTCTGGACGGCTCCTGGGGAGCACAGCTGCTCCTCAAATCACTGCTTCAAAACCAGCCCCGCAAGTGTTCTAATGCCTACAGCTTTGAAATGTATTTTTGAAAAAAAAAAAAAAAAAAAGATAATATATGCCAGTAAACCAAATGACAACTGTAGATCTAGCTGGTAGCTGTATAGATAGTCAATGTACAATTCTTTCTTATTCATATATATATATTTGAAGATTTTTATAATAAAATGTTTGGAGAAAAAGCTAACTCCAGATCATTTTCCAGTACCTGGTATTTAAGAGACAGAAGGAAAGAAATGGCATCAAGGAGAACAAAACTTGGGAGGTGGAGGAAGGCCTCACCATCTCTGGGACAGTCAGGGCCACCCCATTAACAGGTAGAGAGAGTGTCAGAGTCAGGCAGGATAGACGTGAACAGTTACAGTGCGTCAAGAGATCTTAAACCAACTTTCCATTACATGCAAGGCTGCCATCGGCAAAGAGCTCCCTGTCTTAAATTTTACAGTACTGATTCCTGCCATGTGTGGTGGCACATGTATATAATCCCAGCACCCTGGGAGGCTGAAGCAAGAGGACCACAATTTCTGGCCCAGCCTGGGCAATTGAGCGACTCAGTGAGACCCTGCCTCAAAATAAAAAAAATTAAGGAAAAATGGCCCGGGATTAGCTCTGTGTAAGGAAGGGCCCTGGGATTAGTCCTCAGTATTGCGGGGGTGGGGGGTGGGGGGGGTGGGGGGGGGAGTCCCTGATAAATGTCTATCTCCCCTGCAAGCCTAGGGGGTTATCCTGCTATAGAACTGCTATAGTCATTCTTACTGACAAAGCATGAAGACAGCAATGCTCCAGGTTTTCATTTTCTTTTCTTTTCTTTTTTTTGATACCAGGGATCAAACTCACGACCTTGCACTTTCCAGGCAGGTGCTTATGCCGCTGAGCTAAGCCCTGGCCCTTACTCCAGCTTTTCAAAGAATGCCTAGAGGTTAAGTCATGTCCCCAAGGCCTAAGACAAAGTATCAAATTGGGACTCCAACACGGATTCCTTTGACTCCTGTGTCTCCTTTCAGACCTGCTGAAAAACTGAGAGCTGACCTAACCTTGTGGTCAGAGCATCTCTCTCCTGAGGAATTTGGGGCTGATTCACAGGTCTATTGTTAAAACATAAGGGTCTCCTGGCTTGGAAGAATACCTTTTGGGGCCTGAGCTCTAAAAGCCCCGCCCTTTCCCCCAGCAGGGTCACAGTTCTCACTTGTTTCCCTTAGGGGGTGGGGACTTGGGCAGGGCGGTCCCCATGACTCAGCAGAGGATGTCCACGTGTCTGCACCGAGCAAGGACACCTGGCTGCCTTCCCCAGCTCTTGGTTCACTTCTTTCCCCACCTTTAGAAAATCAAGGCAAATATGACGCTACAGTAGATACTCACCAAAACAGAAACACAGGGTCAAGTCTGACCCCCTCCTTAAAAAGACAGTGGTACCCGGGTCCTTGCTGTTAGTGGGTCTCAAGAGGCTTGAGGAGTACCAAAAAAGAACACCAAACAAACTGTTTTGGCAGGAGAGGGTACGGAGTCACAAAGCAAAGATATCAACAACTTCCAGTTTGCCGACGGGATCACTGGGAGAAAACATTCATGTCCAAATGTGCGATGGGCCAAATTTAACAAATTTCAAAGCAGCTGAGTATGACTATACTCAGCAGCAAGGGTATGACTATAAGTAATAGTTTTTGCGCCTTCTGCTCTCCCTGATGTCCCTGAAGTTAAATACATGTGGGCTGCAGAGGCCTCTAACTTAGTCTGAAGAAATTAAGCACACTTGCTTTATGGCAAAGTCAGCAGCAGCACCCCACCTTGGACAGGATGTTAGGCTCCTGGGCAGCGTGGAGTCACTTTGTGTCAGAGTTCACTTTGAAGCAGCCCCACAGAACAGAAAAGGAAATGGAAGCTCAGGTAGAAGAGGGCAGGCAGACTTAAGACCTGAACGCCAGAAGCTGGCTGCTTAGTTACTGGACCTCTGTTCTGCTACTGGGTTGCAAGATGAGAGCATCCCGAGTAGGTGTCTGTTGTAAGTAAGAAGCACCTATAAAGCAGCTGCTCCACAATGAAACATTTATAGTTAGGGACAAGCTCCACTTAAGAATATGAATGCAATCTGCTACATGTTCACGTTGAAAAGGAAGTGCTAAAGTCACCTCACACTTACACCTGGGGAACCTGACTCCTCACAAGTCATGAAGATGATATGGAGTGTGATCCCGGATGGGGAGGGGGCCCGAAGGGGAGCCAAGGGCGGAAATGATCTTTAAAAGCTGGAGCATTCACAGGGAATGGGACCCCACATCTCATGTGAGAGTGGATAGTTTACAAAGGGCAGTGGAGTTACCTGGTGGTAGGGACAGGACAGGGGCTCTGGGTGGCGAAGATCTGGTGCCCCTGCAGGAGCTGTGGGGACATCAGCACAGGTGCAGGGGCAAAGCTTGGAAAGCTGCCTTCCGCACGAGGACAGCTGACACCCCAAGCCCTCCTGCCAAGTGAAGAGCCTTGCTTCCTACATACCAAGGGGACTGTGTAGTCTGGCGTCTTCCATGTCAGGCCCAGGGCACAGTCAAGCGTACAAAATGCAACTTGAGGGGAATTTCAGGAATGGCTCCCCCCACCCCCACGCACCGGAGGTAAAACCATCATCTGCCACAGTTTCCAAGCTCATCTTTCCTTTCCCCTACTGAAACCAGGCAAAGGGAGTGTGGTTGCCCAGGCCTGAAATCCCAGCACTCTTGGGAACATGAACATAATAAGTTCCAGCCCCACTTCCTGGACAACTTAGAGACTTAGTGTGATCCTGTCTCAACATTAAAAAAGGAAAAGAAAAGAAAGAAAAAGGACTGGGAATGGAAATGTGGCTCAATGTGAAGGTGCTGAGTTCTACCCCTTGTACCGAAAAAAGAAAACAAAAAAAAAAAAAAAAATGACTCTGAATTAAAGAGAAATTCAGAACACAGACAAAAACTCTTCCCAAAAGGGAAATAAAAAAGTTAAGGCTCGCTCTTATAAAGAAAGGTTCAGCTTAACCTAACGAAGGTTAAAACACAATCTACCGTTTGCTGAATCGTTATTTCTCAAGACACCTGGGCAAAGAGCGTGGCTTCCGTGTGTATCAGAGTTAAGGCAGCTCAATTCACAGTGCCACCCACACCCCAGGCGGCCCCAGCTGCACCCGGCAGTGTGCCGGTGGGGAGCTAGTGATAGTGTCAGGGAAGGCTTGAAGGGCCAGATAACTCACAAAAGAACTTTCTCTGGTGCAAGCACCCCTGTTACGCTACACACCATGCTCTGGAGATTATATACATGGTCTGTGTCACCAGCAACCCTTTTAAGGACCCAACGAGATAAAGGTTCCTGAGGGTGCGAACTCTGCCTTAGGCTTCGTCTTCTGCAAGGTGCTGGGCCCAGCAGAAGTTGCGCTTTCCATGGCTGCACCTTGTCTTCCCATGCATCACGGAGCTACTCCAGGGCGTCCTTGAATACTGATGAGTGAAAACAGCACACACTGCCACATGGGCTGTAGGCTGAAGGCAGAGAGCACAGACTGGAGTCTCCTCTTTGTATTTTTATAGTAACTGCATGAATATGGGAGTGAACAGACAGGAACAGAGCCACAGCACAACAGCCTGGGAACTGGCCAGAGCTAGACCGAGGCTCTCTGGGGCACTTTCCACATAGGATTGGATCATGGGCAAAGAAAGATGCTCACCACTTCCTTTTCAATGGGGACACCTTTCATTCTTATTCTGATTCATCCATTCCTACTAGAACAGTGCAATGGTAACAGCAGTGAAGGGGACGCTCCCTGCCTTGGTCCTCATCTTGGGGAGAAAGTGTTGTTTTTCCTCCATTAAATACATATGATGCTGCTGGCAGGCTTTTGTGGCTGTCTCCTTTTTTGAGAATACTACAGAAATGTAATTATTTCTGTTTAAAAGAACAATGACACGTCTCCGTGTAACTTCTAAAATGCATCATCATATTTATTGCTTGACAAACACGATTTGTTTGAGGCTGGAGGTGGAAATCCTGAAATGCTATCTTGGCACAGGTGGGATATAGGTTGTCAGAGCAACAGAAAAACCTCAGGCCACGGTACGGTTAGCAGGAAATGAGGAGAGTGGAGGTGTGCTGCTACCCAGAGGGGCATGGGGTCTCTGAGTAGGGAGAAAAACAGACGTGGGGCCACAGCTCTGACCTGCAGCCAGCCAGTAGCCTCCCTGTATGAGGCTTCTGGTGAGGCAGCGTTGGTTTCTAGTGCCTATGAGACTTGTTTCATTCTGGCACTTGAATTAGGAACACGGGGTTTTGGATGATCCTTGGCTAAGGTACTCTCCTCTAAGAATCTCCCTGACAGATTCTCCAGGGATCGTACCTATTCCAGCCCAAGGCTTCCCTTAACCTTTCCCTCTAATTGCTGCTTCTGCTACT